TGATTTGCTGCAACCATTGCCCCATTATCTACGGGTACGTAATGCTGATACACACATGTATCGTATGGGTCTATGTATCGGTGCCGGACACCAGTTCATCGCCAGTTCATACATCGACCCTATTTTGTTTGGACAGTCCTACTATCGCTAATTGTCAGAAACATTTTCTACATACTCTATCCGCTTGAAGAGCATAAGTTTCGTCTATATATTGCCGACTTTGGCTACTTTATGGGTATCCGTGTCCCACTAAACCTACTGTCCCTTGTAGCTCATTTACTATCATGGGGATCGCTTAGCATTGCCATCAAAAACTATCGGAGAGGTATAGGTGCGCGTGAGATGCGTGTGTTTGAAATGATGGCCGGTTGGCTAACACCCGAAGATATTGGCCTAAACGATCGGCGCTGTATCTATAATATTGTCAAACGTAATGGCAGATTGTTACGGTTTGCCGAACTGGTTATACCAACTAATAAATACGAAATGATTCAAACCCTACGCTAATATATATTTTGTTTAAAGTTTATTATAATTTATAAAATTCTATTTAAGTTGAAAAGCTTAGCTACCAGTGCTGCCTCAACACACGTGAGCTTAAATGTAATGGTGGACTGAAACCAATAGTTTGGTTAGAGTTGGGTTAGCTATCGAAGTGGTCGGTAGAGTTGGTTTAGCTATCGAAGTGGACGGTAGAGTTGGTTTAGCTATCGAAGTGGTCGGTAGAGTTGGTTTAGCTATCGAAGTGGACGGTTCAGTCTAAGTGTGTTTAGCAGTCAGTGGACTGTACGGGTGGGTTGGCGTAGTACTGGCCGATAGCTTTAATTATATTAATTATCAGTTTTATTGTTTAACGCATTTATATTATTAATAAAGTATTGTAAATATATTATATACTGTGTTTGTGATTATAGTAATCGTTTAGCTTATGGGTGATTATAGTGATTGCAACAGTAGTGTGTAATAGCTTAGCCGCCGCAACACGTGTCTCATCGTTCGGGTCTACAGCTGGTCATTGTATAGGTCACACCTTTACCGCATCGCTATAAGTGGTCGCTCATCTGAGGCTATAAGCCTACCTATTTAACGGGAGAGCATAATCACGGGTCTCATAGCTAAGCCCCGCAACCCGTGAACTGCAACCGCACTGCTACAGTTGATGGTGTGCCAGTTGGCGACACCCGTAGCAGAATCAATCGTTACATAAGCTGGTGGAGGCGCCCGTTCTCCCTGTTTCGTGAACTGCAGTGACCAGAGATAGCAGTTACATAAGCTGGTGGAGGCGCCCGTTCTTCCTGTTTCGTGAACTGCAGTGACCAGATATAGCAGTTACATAAGCTGACCATCATATGAGTAGAAACTTACGCAATAAGCAGGACCTCGAAGAGAGACATCGTGTCAACAATTAGCTAAAAAGGATCGCACGGGACAAGCGTTAGGAAAAACTGAAGTGAAGCAAATTGCGGACGAAATGAAAAACAAAATGGCATCTAAAGCTGAAATAGATGCCATTTCTAAAGAAATTATCGCCAAAGCTAATGCTGGTTTTTATGTCGATATGAGTCTGTTTTTTGAGGACATCGAGATTTTAAAGAAAGCGCAGAAAACGACAGATGAAAGCCAAAGACAGGAGCTATTCAGCCGATTAAGCTTTTTGAAGGACAAGGATTGTAATCACCATCGCTGGAGACAGAAGTAGCACCGGAAGAGCTTACCAACGCAAAGACGCTTAGAAACAACGCAAAGGATTCGGGAGAGATGGTGGACGCACTCGCGGAGGATAAAAGCTTTGACGATAGCCATAGTGGAGACCGGGAAGTGACCAAAGGATTGGCACTGTCGGGGAACGAAGCTATTGATCGTAAGGAAGGAACCGAAGCAGTGGTCGCCTACTCTACGACAACAGCAGCCGCTGTTATAGCAAAGTCTTCAGAAGCTCTTAGCATAGGTGTTGAAGCAAAGCAAGCGTCGGAAGCGATTACAGTTGTAATCAAAGAAGTAGTAGCTCTTGAAAAGGAAGTAAATAGCAATATCAGCGAAGAAATGGTAGAAACGATTGCCGATAGCATAGCTCCAGAAGAAGACAAAGAGAATGACAACAGCTATGACAACAAAGAAATGGTCGACACGATAGCCAACAGCTCAGCTCAACAAACAGAAGAAATAGTCGTCGCGTTTATCGATAGCTTAACTCAAGAAGACGACCAACAGAAGAACAACAGCGATACCATCGATGAAGTAATCAAAACAACCGTCGATAAGCCAACACAAGAATTAGACAACAATGACGGAAAAGCTATCGAAGAAAACACCGCAACAACACATGTGAAGACAACACAAAACAGCGACGAATCAACAGATTTAACAGAAATATTAGAAAGCGTTGATTCAGGAGATATGTCGGGAAATCAAGAAAGCGCTAAAACAACGATAATATCTGAAAATATTGAAAACAATACAAAGGTTTTGGACGCATTAGCTAAGTATTGTTTGACAGACATGATTACAGATATGAGAAGCTTTAAGACATACAACAGTGTTAATACCGGATCGTCATTAAAGACATTAAAGCGATTGAGAGGACAGCTAAACAAACTACAACAACAACCCGAAGAAATAAAAGACCGAAAGCTCGCCAATCATAAGAATCACATAAAAGAAATGCCGACAAAAAGCCAAGTGTTTGATAGAGGGAAACAACAATCGCATCGCATATCCAGCGCAGGCATTCAAGTGGAGCTGAAGACACCGCGCATAGGAAAAGCTACAGGAGCTCCACATAACAGCAGCACAACCCGGATGGTTGAACCTAATGCTTATGGATGTAATTAGAGGACTAATTAGCGAAGTAGTGGGGAAGGGACAAGCGTTCGGTTGAAATTATTTTTTTTGTATTTAAATTTTATTTATATTATATAATGCTATTCACGTGGGCGTGAATCGAAGTGGTGCAAATATGCTGCCCTAATGTGTATCGGGTCATCATTCATAGTTGGCGGTATCTGGTGGGTAATGTCGGCTCAGTTTCTTATGTCAGTTATGTTGTGGAGCTTTATCTACTATTCAATGATTGTCTATTACCTGAAAACTAAACTACAGTTTCTCAATGAGTCGTTACGTAAACTTAATGGTGATAAGCAATGTTCTGATGTGAACAGGGCTAAGAAACTACAAGCCCTTTTAAACAGATTTAATGCCATATATTGGGAAATTGGTGATTATAATCGTAACTATTGGACCAAATTTATTGGACTAGTTTGGAGTCTATTGAGTATTGCTGTAGCATTGTCGTTTTTTGTTATACTAGATGACCAGGTTAATATTATTATCAAATTGTTTTTTGCATTTCCCAGTTTAATGTTTACAGTGGTTATGCTGTTTATTATACAAATATCGGCTAATATATTCAAAGAGGCGATGCTATCCTATAAACTGTTTCATTCGGTCTATCAAACCAGGTATAGGGTGTCTCTGAAATTAAAGGTATAAATGTTTTTTTGATGTTATTTTTAAAAAAATTATTATTTATACAATGTTTTCATATATTTTTTGTGTAAATTTGTAAAAAGTTTATCTTTTATTACTTAAATATTGAAATTTGACAACAAATATTTTGACAGTTTTTTTTAACTTATAAAACTTATTCTAATATTTAATAAACTGGATAAATAATAAATAATACTTTCAAAGAGGCAATGCTAACCTATAAACTGTTTCATTTGGCCTATCAAACTAGGTATAGGGTGTCCCTAAAATTTAAGGTAAATGTTTTTTTGTTATTATTAAAAAATTGTTTAATTTATACAATTTTTTTGTAAATTTTTAAAAATTATCTAATTTTTGATTAGTTAATTTTTGTTTTAAATTAGAACCTAACTAACTATAATTTGAAGTTTATAGTTTATAATTTTATATTTAAAAAATAGTTTTTTTTAAATAATAATTTCAGTTTTAATAATACATAAACAGTTATAAAAGTCATAATAAACAGTTATAATAATTTTATAACTATAGAATTTATGGCAGTTTTGTTATTTTTTTTGTTGGTTTTATTTAATAGATATTATCGATTACCGAGCGATTGGCCAAAAAGCGTATTGGCTTTCAGTGTTGGAAACTATTTATTATAACCAGATTTCGCGGTTATGAGGTTTGTGTCAAATATTTTTTTTCAAACTATTTTTTTTAATAATATGCTATCAAACAAATATTTTTTTGACAGGTAATTGCTTTAATAGTATCACTATATTTAAAGTCATTTGAACAGTTTAATTAGATATTCTTAGTAATATCTTATTGTAAATAATGTATTTATATTTTGAATTAATTATTTTAATTATTATACAATATAATATTAAAGCAGTATTACTTTAAATGTTTAATATTTAATAATAAGTATTTTTATTAATTCGAAAATATATTATATTTAATGATAAACTAAACAATGTACAAATAAAAGCAATTAATTGTAAATCACTTAAATTTGTATTTATAAACAATACATAGTTACAAATATTTTTCTAGTATTTTAATATTTTTTAGTTAAATGTGTGCAAACAAATAATATTATAAATAAAAATAATAATAATGTGTTTTCATAAAAAAAATAATTAAAATTTAATTTAATTACATAAGTTATTACTTATATTAAAAATAATAAAAATTACAGTTTTTATATTTGTATTAAAAATTTCATACTTACAATATAAATAAATACTTTTTATTAGGAAAAATACTAATATTATTATTATTATTTTATATATATATAACCGATTAACATCTATATCACAAACTTATTATAGTATTGTAGAGTATTTTAATAAAATTTTATTTATTTTACTAATTTATTATTAATACATGAATATTACATTGATCAATTGAAAAAATATTAAATCATTTAAATATTTATAATAATTTTTGTTTAAATATTATTATATAATTCAATAAAAAAATATTATTATCAATAAAATAATTTGCAATAACAAATTAAATTTATCAAGCTGATAATTTTTAGTGACATTTATCGACATCCTCATATTTGACATTATTATGAAAACAATCTTGATTCTTTTTATAGCCATCAGGATTTGATTTTTTCAACTCCTCGTAGTGTTTCATCATATGTTCAAAACATTTATCCTGGTCATTTGTTTGCTCTTTACGAATTTCCATACCTTTTTTAACTTCATCTGGCAATGCTGCTTTAACACATTCACCATATTTTGCAATATCCTCGTTTACTTTAGTATCTTTGCAATTACCTAGTTTCAAATTTATTCAATAATAATATATTTATGTTTAAATAATTAAAATATGATTTTTATATAAGTAATTAATAAAGTATTTTAAAATTAATTTTTTTTAAAGCTATATTTACCACAAAATATTAGTTTCATATTTTTAAGATCTTTTTCGCTATATTGACATAAAACATGTTGAATGCCAACAACAATGACAATAATAGCCAAAAACATTATAGTTTTCATTATTGCTGTTTTATATTTACGTAATATAATAAACAAATGAAATAAAATAATTTAAACTATTTTTATAAGAATTATTATTTTCATTAAATATACAATTATTTATATACTTTTTTTCTGAATGATATTATACTAAAAAATAAATTTGTTTATTCATTAGTTACATTAATTAATTTATAAAATAAATAAATAAAATTAGCTAGTTATTGTGTTAGGTGCAAATTTTAAGTATGATATATTAATTAAAATTTGTATTATTAATATGTAATTGACTTAATTAAGCAAATTTTAAAAAGTTAGATAAAATTTTTAAAAATCTACTTATTATAGATAATAATATTAATAATATAATAAAATATAATACTGTATTATATTATCATAAAATTATAGATAATTTATATAATAATGAAAAAATAATTAATATGTAATTAATATATGCTGTATTACTATTGATAATATGTATAATAATAATAATAATTTAAATGTTATTTACTAATCTTTACCTGATTAAACAATTTTGTTTATAAATTAAAATTTAATTATATATAATAACACACACACACACATTTAATTAAATAAAACTAATTAATATCATTATGTTATAATAAATTATATAGAAATTTGCATTTAATGATTACTTATAACTGATTTATATTTATTATTTATAAGTATTTAAACTAAATTGTTTATTGTATAATAATTGCAAAATATTTTTTTTTATAAATGTGTTCAAACAATTAATATTTTAATTAAAATAATATAAATATATGGATTATTCTAGATTAATGTTTTTAAAAAATCTATTTGACAATTATTAAATAAAATATTCAAAGTACAGTAGTTTTATTAACATTTATTTATTACAAAATACAGTTTAATTATCACTATAAATTTATAATAATTTAAGTTATCTGTTATATTAACATAAAAAAATTAGATTTAAAAAAAATAAATTTAGAAATAAATAATATTAGCAATACAATCAATATTAATATAATTAATAGCCATAAGTTATGGCCCATAACAGTATTAACTTACATTTTTTATTGTAAATATTTGTAATTTATTATAATTCAAATTATCGACATATTAACATAAAAAATCATTTTTTTATAATAAAATAAAAAAACAAAAACAAAAACAAAAACAAAAGTAATTTATATTAAAACAATATTAAACAATAACAGCAAAAAAAATACATTATTAAAAATAGGAATTTAATCAATTTTAATTATCTTAATAAACTTAATTATCTGTCATTTAATGACATTTATCGATATCTTCATATTTGACATTTGTTATGAAACATTCCTCCATTTTTTTATAGCCATCTGGTTTGGATTTTTTCAGATCATCGTAATGTTTCATCATATGTTCAAAACATTTATCCTGATCATTACCATGCTCTTTTTGAATTTCCTGCTCTTTTTTAACCTCATCTGGCAACGCTGTTATAACACATTTATCATATTTATCCAGATCCTCTTTCACTTTGGCATCTTTGCATTCACCTAGATAAATAGTTATTTTTTAAAAAATAAAAATTAATATTATATATAATTAATAATATGATATACCAGTACTTTATAATAATAAATTAGTTTATTTTAAAAAGTTGACAAATTTTTTTAAATAAAAAAAAATAATTTAATTATATTTACCACACATTATTAGTTTCATGTTTTTCAAATCTTTTTCGCTTAGATTACATGAAACTAATTGAATGCCAACAACAACGACAATAATAGCTAAAAATATAATAGTTTTCATTTTGAAGAAAATTAAACTGGATTTTAGTTTACAATTTAAATAACAAATTGTTTTAAATAAAAAGTTAAATTTTATCTGTAAATTTTTCATTTATACATTTAACAGTTACTTTTATATACTTTTATTAAAATTAGTTTTGCGCATACATACTATTTTATTTACTAGTATTAAAGTTTGTTTAAACATAAGTTACACTGATTAAATTTTCAGATAATAATTAATTGGAATTCAAAATTATTTTGTTAAATGAATATTTTTATTGCAATTTACTAATTAATATGAAAATGTTGTTTATATAGATTATATAGTTTTAATACATTTATTTTTAATACAGAATAATTATATTGATTAAATAATATGATTAAATAAATAAAAATTTATTATACAGTTACTATTATTCTCTTAATATTATTTTAAATTATATCGAAATATAATGCTTTAAATATTTTTTATTAATATTTATTTAAAAATATAATACAATTATTTAAAAATTTTACTATATCGATATACCTTTATTATATAATATAATTAATAGCCATAACAGTATTAACATATATTTTTTATTGTAAATATTTGTAACTTATCATAATTCAAATTATCTACATATTAACATAAAAAAATAATTTTTTTATAATAAAATTAAAAAAAAACAAAAGTAATTTATATTAAAACAATATTAAACAATAACAGCACTAAAAAATACATTAATTAAAAATTACAATTTAATCAATTTTAATTATCTTCAACAAAAAATGATGATATAATTTAATGACATTTATCAACATCCTCATATTTGACATTTTTATGGAAACATTCCTCCATTTTTTTATAGCCATCTGGTTTGGATTTTTTCAGATCATCGTAATGTTTCATCATATGTTCAAAACATTTATCCTGATCATTACCATGCTCCTTTAGGATTTCCTGCTCTTTTTTAACTTCATCTGGCAACGCTGTTATAACACATTTATCATAATTATCCAAATCCTCTTTCACTTTGGCATCTTTACATTCACCTAGATAAATAGTTATTTTTTAAAAAATAAATATTATACATAATTAATGATAAGATATACTTTATAATAATAAGTTAGTTTTATTTTTTTAAAAAAGTTGACAAATATTTTAAATAATAATAAAAATAATTTAATTATATTTACCACACGTTATTAGTTTCATGTTTTTTAAATCTTTTTCGCTAAAATTACAAGAAACTAATTGAATGCCAACAACACAGACAATAATAGCTAAAAACATAATAGTTTTCATTGTAAGCAAATTAAACTGTTGAAAGTTTATAATTTAAATTAAAAAAAAAAATAAAATTTTATATATAATTTTTTCATTTATACATTTAACAAATGTATTTATATACTTATACTAAATGTAGTTATGCTTTACATAATATTTAGTTACTAGTATTAAAGTTTGTTTATACATAAGTCATACACTGATTAAATTTTAGAAAATAATTAAATGTATTTCATAATTATTTTGTTAAATAAATACGTTTAGTGCAATTTACTAATTAATAAAAAATGTTGTTCAAATAGTTTATTTAAAATAACAAGTATTTTTCTACATATAATAAAAATATTTATTAGTAAAATGATTAAATAAATATAAAATTTTATTATCAGGTAAAAGTTAATTAAAGTTTTTATAAAAAAATAGTTAAAAAGTATTTATTATGTAATTAACATTAAATGCAATACTCTTTATTTTATAAAAAATACATTTTTATTAAACTTAAATACTTTATTATAATTTATAGTAAAAGCACTAAGTTATTTTTATAATTTAAAATAAAATATAAGTTTTAATAACAAAATAATTTTTAAAAAATTGGATTAAATTGGATTAAACTAATTTTTTTTAAATTTAAAATATTAATTATAATAATAGAAAACAATAAATTGCTTTAATTTATCTAAACGAGAACATAAAAAATTTATAGATTAATAAAAATAAACTAAAAAACTATTTGATTAAACTTTTTAGTTATCATAATAAGTAGTAGTAGTAGTAGTAATAGTAGTGATAATTTTTTTTAGTGACATTTATCCAGATGTTGTCGGACAACGTTAGTATTGAAACATTCGGTAACTTTGATAACTCCTGCGGGATCTTTGCGGGAATACTCAAGCATTTCAGTCATCATTTTTTCCATACAAACATCGGGATTGGATTTGTTTGCCTCCCGTATAGCCATCATTGTCTGCATTTCTTTCGGATACAATTCTGCTGTACAGTCCTTAAACTTTTGCAGATCGGCTCTCACACCGGCATCTTTGCACTCACCTATTGATTAATTAATTAATTAATTTTAAAAAATTGTTTTTAAATTTTAAGAATTTTAAATATATCTTAAATACAATTACCGCATAAAATCATTTTTCCATGTTTTTTGAAATCTTCATCCTGGGTATTGGGTTGTCCAACAACTAGTTGGCCAACAATGGCCAATGTTGAGACAATCAGTAGATATTGATACTTGGTCATTTTTATGTGTGTGTAACTGTTTGTATTATAAATTATATTTATAAATAAAGCAATTAATTTTAGTTTTTTTTTGTTATATATAACAAAAAACAAACTAATCAATTTTTATTATAGATAAAAACATTTTTCTAAAATTATAGATAATAATAATTATATAAATTTAAGGAATATTATTAAAACATAAATCATATTTGAAAACTTTGTATATTTTACTTACAATTGAAATGTTTGTTTTAAAGATTTATTATACAAATAAATGTTTAATAACTTGAGTTAATATACAAAATTTGTTTAACATTTAACATTATGAGTTATCTATTTATATATGATTTGACATAAATAATAATACAAATAAAATTTCATTGTTTAAGCTAAAATTATTAAGTTAAATAAAAGAATATTTATAAAATTATATATTTTTATTATTTAATAAAATTAATTATTACAATTAGATGTAATTTTTTTTGAAAAATAATTCTATTTTTAATAATAAAAAAATGTCAAGCACAATAAAAAATTTTAATATACAATTATATTTAAATATTATAATTAATTTATAGCATATAATACACTTGTAAATAACGTGATAGTGTAATATATAATTATTTATGGATTACAATTTTTAAAATAAATTTTTATTTAAAATAAAGTATTATGGTAAATTTAATTAGATTTTAATAAAATATAACAATGTTAATTATTATATAATTATTAACATTGAATTTTACTAATTTTTATATTTTGTATATTGTATATTGTTTTTTCATCACACAATTGAATTTTATATTTAAAATTATATTTTCTAAAATGTTTTATTCAACACTTATTAAAAAAACAAAATAACTTAAAGTATTATTTATATGTTTTTTAAATAAAATAACTCATTCTTAACAATAATATTTTTTTTATATATTTATAAATAGTTTACTGTTTTGAAAATAATTCAGCAAATAATCAAATTACTAATTATATTAATTTATTGTAATTGCATTTAATAAAAAATTATTTTATTTTCTATTAAATAGTTGTATATTCAAACATAATGTTAATTATTTTAATAATTTAATTAAATATAACTGATACAATTTATTAAAAAATTTTGCATTTATTTAAAGTATTATTATTTTTAATTACAAATATTCACTTATTTTTAACTAAAAATATGTTAATTAAAGTTAAGATTATTATTTTATCAAAATTATTATAAAGTTTACAGTTTATTAAAGAAAAAATTATTAGAAAAAAATTATATAAAAAACCAAATAATATATCAAAAAAAAAAATTAACTGATATTTAAAATATCAATAGAAAAAATACAACAAATAATAAAAATTATATACTTTTTTTGTTTGTTAAATATTTCAATCAATCAATCATTCAATTAATTGATTAATTTTATTTAATGACATTTTGCGAGATGTTCACGAACTACGTTATCGTGAAAACAGTCCATAACTTTGATAACACCCGACGGCTCCTGTCGTGCGTATCCCTCGAGTTCTGTACGCATTTTTTCCATACACGTGTCCGGAGCGGCTTTGTTGGCCTCACGTATGGACATAATGTGGTCGACTTCGGTCGGGAACTGCGCCCGAAAACAGTCCTTGAACTTATCGAGATCTGCTTTTACGCCATCATCTTTGCAATCGCCTTAAAGTTTTTAGTTTTTAAATTTAAAAAAAATTTAATTAATTACTAAATTAAATATTAATTGGAAATATTTTTAAATATTTAAAAATTATTTGAATAACTTACCGCACAAAACCATTTTAGCATTTTTCTTATACTCTTCACTGAAAATATCTGTCGACACTACATAACCAACTAAAACAGTTAGCGATACAATGTAAATAAATTGTATCTTGGTCATCATCATTATCATTGAGTGTTATCTGTACTATTTTATAATAATAATAAAATAATTAATTAGTATAGAAGTTTAAACAATTTATATACTTTTTTTTAAATAAAAATTTTTTTAGTATTAATATAATAACTTTTTTTTGAAATAAATAAAAACAATTAGAAAAAATTTGTTAAAAATACTAAACAAATATTTCGAAAAAAATTAATCAATACATACATATGGTTTACACTTGTATTAACTAAAGATTAAATATATAGATTAAATAATATATTTAATATTTTATTATTAAGTAATATTGATATATTTTGAATGCTAAATATTAAATCTTTTATATATCAAATAATTTCAAGCAAATTTATATGTAAATATTTTTAAATGTACTTTTAATAAACAATTGTTTGGCTTAATTAACTGTAAATACTATAACTAGAACTATAAAATTAATTATTTTGTTATTCATTATAACTCATAATTAAACATAATTAATTATTTTTTCAAAAAAAAATTAACTAAATAATATCCAGCAAACTTTAATTCAATAAATACTTAAATAACATAATTAATTAGGACATTATGATAATAATAATAATAATGTACTTAATGTGCTAGACATGCATGAATAGTTTAGCCATTGTCATTTTACTTTATTGTACTAAAAAAAATTAAAGTACATAAGTTATTAAAAAAATTTATTTCTTAAAAAAAATAATATATCAGAAATTTAATATTATATAAAATTCTGCATTAAAAACAATTACTATTAATTTATAAAAATAAAAAACTTTATAAAGTATTCATTTAATATTAATATAGAATATTTTATATTTACGTAATTAATTTTTTTGTTATAAACTTTTTTTGTACTGTTTATAAAAATGATCATAGAATTTTTTTTTAATATTATTAAAATACAATAAACAATAAGTTTTTTAATAAATTTTCTATCAATATAAATATATTAATTAAGTTAAATACAATAATTTATATATTTATATGTATTCATAATAATAAATAAGTTTTGCAAAATATAATAAATATATTTATTGAAAAAATGTTATGACTTTGTTATTAATATAAGAAAAAATTATAATCTATAAAATGTATTGTAATAAAGAAATTATATACATTAACATAAAATATTTTATACATAAATAATTAATTAAAATTAATATATTTAAGTACAGGAAAAAACATTATTATTAGTTTTATATTTTAAATTTTTGAGTCATAATGTACTAGTAATTTGTATAGCAATGTAAATAAAATTAGTTTAAACTTATCAAATATGCTTAAACAATACTAATGCAATATTATTACGGTCATGGATGATAAAATCATATTATTATTGATTAATATAAAATTATTTATTTATTTTTTATTTGTTTATTTGATAACAAGGCTGACTATACTTAATACTTAATACATTAGTAAAAAGGAAAATAGTTTTATAATAATTTGTAAAATAATAATAATTTACAAACAAAAAAACATTAATATAATGTTATATATATATACTATATTTTTTAATTGATATTTTCATATATCAGATTAATATATCAATAAATTATAGTAAAATAATTAATTAATTAATAAAATAATCAGACATTTTGATATATTAATAATATATGTATTATAATTAATGTAGTACATTAATCTATGATAAAGCATTAATTATATAATTAATTATTTTTCAAATTAAAACAAAAATATTAGTAAAATGTAATTATACTTAAAATTAAAACATACAGATTAAATTTATAAATACATACTATTAATATTATTACACAAAAAACACCAAATATTTATATATTTATAATTATTATAGTTATTCTAATTCTAATTTTTTGAATCATTATCAATTCTAATATATGTAAAAAAAATTATACATTAAAAATAGTCAATCTAATTTTCACGAATTCCTGAAAGGAATACGTATATGCATTCTAAAAGTCTGTCTGTCTGTCGGTCTGTCTGTCCCACGAGGACATGGGTTCGAATCCAGACTCCGCTACAATTTTTTTTTATTTTTTCCTTTTTAAGTTAAGGAATTCGTATGGAAATGCTTTTAAAGCATTCTCAACTAGTTTATATAGTAAACTATTGGTGATTTTATTTTTAATTATACTAATTTAATTGTTTGTTTGCTCTACTGTAGTTTATATTGGACTTCAATTTATAATCGAAATTATTTATCATTTTAAAACAATTGATATGACAAAAAATAATTAAATGGTTGAACAGCATTTTTAAAAAATTAAATTTTTCAAATATTTGAATAGCATACTTAAACCATCACCAACATCACCATAATTATCAATATTGTCACCAATTAGTGGTTTATTATAATTATTTTGGATATCACTACCACTACCATCATTATTATTATCATCAGTAGTTTGATTTTTTAATTTTGTTGTTGATTATTTCTAATTAATTAATATAACTAAATACCAAAAAAACATATTTATACTTTTTTTTACAGACTATTTGATAATCAATTTATAATTAAATGAAATATTAGTAAAAATAATGGTTTTATAATAAACAACATACACTGTTAAATTTTATTTAAATTTATAAATATATATAATTACAAAAAAAATTTTAGTTAATTAATCATACAAATTAAAAAAAATTATTAATAATTAAATATTAAAATAAAAAAACTAATAATTAATTTAGTATTATTATTATTGTTATTATAGTTATTTTAATAGAATTAACTAAAATACATTTTTTGATTTTTTTATAATTTTATCATTATCAAATCTCATATATATATATATATATAAACTAAAACATTTTCTATTTTTAGGGAACTATTGGTAATTTTGATTTTTAAAAAATAATATTATATTCATTAATTAGTTGTTGTACATTAAATACTCCAATAGTATGATTATCAACCAATGAGTTAATTTATAAAACCATTCAACCCATTTAATCCTAATCCACTAATTAAACTTTGTACAAGTGTTCCTAAATTACTTAATCCATCATTTTCGGCAACAACTGGTTTATTATAATCAGTTTTATTATTATTATTTTGGTCATCACTATCACCATCAATATTAGCATCAGTTTGATTGACATTTGATAGACAAAACATACAGTATTGATGATAACTAATACATATGATTAAAATAAACACTTTTAAACTAATCATTTTGTTGTTGTCGTTATTATTAATTTATAAAACTAAATACAAAAATATTATTTTTTCGTACTTATTATTTATAGACTGATTATATTATTTTGAATAATAAATTTTATACTATTTATTTTTTTAGTAATAATTGTCTGGAATATTAGCGATATTTATACCAAGAAAAAAATCTATATCTAAACGAAAAAATAATGATTTATTATTATTATTTAATAAGATTTATATTAAATAATAAATTTATTTTATAAACAAAAAAATATAAATAGTATATCATATTTTAGTATTACTGTATGAGTGGTGTCAGACTAGGTATAGGTAACTATCATAGGCTTTCCAAAGTAAAAACAAAATCAACTAATGGCAGGATTTGTGTTTGTGGTACACTTGGCTGACCCCATATATTATCCGGTAGATTGTATTCATCACTTAAAAACCAATAAATTATTTATTTTTTAATCACTACAGTCTCTCTCTCTAATTCAATAAATTAATTAAATTATTTTCTGAAAAATATAAATAAAACTTTTTTTTATTTAGTTTTTACTAGAATTTTTATTAAAAATTTAAATTTGTCAATTAAGCTAAATATTTTGTACATTTAAATAAATATATTTGAATTATTAGTAGTCATCGATTGTAAATATAAATAAGTAATTAATATATGATTAATAATTTAAAAATCAATTAATTAATTTTTTGAAGTATAAAATTTTATTTATTATTTTAAATAAAAATTAGACAAGATAAATACATTATTATTATAATGTTTATTTTCGAATTAGATTTTATTTTAAATATAATAATAATTAAAAAAAATTAATTAAATGAAAATACTAATTAATTAATTAATTAAATATTATCTTTTTTTATGTTTACATTTAGTCTTTATTAACTCTAGTTATATCTGGTTTTGATTCAATACGTGTATTCATTGTACAAAAATTAGAAATATACGGTGTTTTCAATTTATTTTTCACACAATCAGCAAAAGAGTTATGAAATATGTAATAATCATTTTTCATTGTTTTACGCATTTTTTGAAATATAAACTGTTTTATAGCCCGTTCACAGTTAGCAGTCGTTTGTTTGTATTCAATGGCAAACTCTAAATGATCTGATAGTGATTCCGTCCAATTGTTTATATGTGTTACGCATGTTATAAACGGTTTTAGGGGTACTAACTCTCTATCGCATGTACCTTAAAAACATATATATATATATTAAAAAATCGGTTATTAATTTAAAAAATATATTTTTTTTAAAATGTTAATTAAATAAAATTATTTGTTTTTAATAATAATAATAATAATAATAATAATTAACTAACATTTAACAAATAATACAAAAATAATAAATTAACAGTTAAAGTGTAGGTAAAACAATAGTATAACAGTAAAAAAACTAATTTCTAAATTTATAATTTATAGAGATAAAAAAATAATTATCAAAAGTTTATCTATATACTTTTTAATTATCATAATTTTTTTTTTGAAAAAATACTAGTGTTATTTTTTAAAAAAAAATTATTTATTAAATAACACGAATTAATTGTTTATATTATTTATTTATTTGTTTAAATATAAAAAATTATTATTGTTTAAATAAATAATTAATATTTACCGCAAAGTCCTCTATATAAAATATCATGTCGCAATAGTCTTAACTTTGACCGGGGCATTCCTATTTCTAGAAAATCTTTATCTTCACACAATATCATTGAATTAATTAACAATATTGTTGTTAATAATAATAAAATCAACTTGATCATAATGATTATTAAATTATATTTATATTTTATTTTTTATTAAAGTATTATTATATATAGTTTTTTTTATGTTTTTGAATTAAATATTACAAACTTAAAATTCAAAATGAAGTTTGTATAATATTAATAATAATTATAAAATGTAATTTATATACTATTAATAAATTTTATACTATTTATTATTTTTTTTACTAATAATTGTGTAAAATATTAGCGATATTTATACCAACCCAAAAAAATCTGTATTTAACAAAAAAAATATAATTTATTATAATTATTTAATAATATTTTTACTATTACCAAACATTTTTTTAAAATTATTTATTATCTAAAATACATTAACTTTTGTAAGTGTAATTAAACTTTAAATATAATTGATAGGATTATTGCACTACTAAAATATTTTAGTAAATTATTATAACTATATTAGTAAAAAAATAAATAGTTTATACTAAATCATTACTTTTAATTTTTATGATTTTATGTTATAATTAAATATTTTAAAACTATAGTAAATCACTAATTACTAAAATTACAAATAAAAATCTAATTTTTATTAATTTTATAAAACAATTAATATAAATATTTGATTTTTATGATATATGTAAAAAAATCTTTAATATAAATTATTTATTGAGATACTTAACCTAATAATAATATAAAATTATTAGTTTATTGAATTGTTAATAAATTAAATCTATTTAATTTCAATTGTCAATAAAATATTCAAAGTAAAATAAACTACATATGCATTATTCAATAAATTGAGTGCTATTTTATATGATTTATATTAAGTAATAAATTATTTTATGAAAAATTACAAATAAATCTATTTTTATTTAGTATTTACTAAATTTTTTTTAAGAATTTAATATGTAATTTTTTCAATTAAGTTTAATATTTAAGTTTTGTACATTTACAGAAATATTTAAATTATTAGTAGTCATCGATTGTAAATATAAATATAATTTGTATTAATTTATTTAAATAAAAGTAATTAATATATGATTAATAATTTAAAAATCAAATAATTTTTTAAAGTATAGAATTTTATTTTTTTTCAAGTAAATATTAAAAAAAAATAAATACATTATTATTATAATAGATTTTTATTTTATTTTTAATATAATAATAATAGTAATTAATAAAATGAAAATAATAATTAATTAATTGAATAAATATTATATTTTTTTGTTTACATTTAGTCTATATTAACTCTAGTTATATCTGGTTTTGATTCAATTATTTTATTCATTGTACAAAAATTAAAAATATACGATGTTTTTAATTTATATTAAGATATTTAAATTAATAAAATTTTTCGTATATCATAAAAATAAAATATTTATTGTATAAAATTATTAAATAATTTAAATAGTTCTACTATTTTTTAAATAGTTAATGAAACATAAAATCATAAAATTAAAAAATTAATTTATTATAATTATATTTTTTAATTCTATGATTTTATGTTTCATTAACTATTTAAAAAAATAGTAGAACTATTTAAATTATTTAATAATTTTATACAATAAATATTTTATTTTTTTATTAATTTAGTTATAAAAATTTGTAAAAATATTTTAGCAGTGCAATTATCTCATAAATTGAATATAAAGTTTAATTACACTTAAAATAGTTAATTTCATTAATGTAGTCAATATTTCATATTTAATAATAAAATTAAAAAAAACATTAGAAGTAAATATACTTAAGTAAAAATATTTTATTTAAAAAATAATCATTAATAAATATTCATAATAATAAATAAATCTATTTAAGTTAATATAATATGAATATTAATTTTTAATAAATATTATAAATGTTTGTAACGGAGGGGGAAATTGATTGCACCCGTAGATCAACCAATAGACCAATGGGTAAGCGCTCCGTTACTATGGCTAGGTGTAGCTCACAAATATATGCTGGACACGATAACACGGGGGTGATAAACAAATACAACAGGGGTTACAAATACATGGGGGTTAACAATACAATTAACAAATACGTGTTCGTATTCGCTATACGAACGGAACCGGAAGTTACAGTTCGAACGGTAATAACTGAATCTATCGTCGAACAGAATCGAACCACTATTACCGCCAGAATATCAAAACCACAAAAACATTGACTCTAAGCCAATACTCGGCATAGAAAACACATACAGTATTTTGTCAACAAATAAACCAAAACTTATGTAACTTTAAATACAAACTTTTATTAAATGTTTATTAATTAAACTTATAAATGTATTATAATTGAGATCATTATTAAATTATTTAATTATCAAAACCGATAATTAAATTACTAAATTAAATTTAACAAAACACAAATTAAATGCCCTAAGAGTGGGACTTAAAAGTTACACCAAAACATGTGTTAATTGAAGGCCGTTTTAAAACACAACTTTCCTCTCTCGAGTGTAACACTGGACTAAAAAAAGTAATACAAAAACTAAAAACTAAAACATTACAAAAAACATAACATATTAAGGTTAACATATAATTTCAATATTGAATATTAAAATACAAAATAGTTTTAAACTTATAATCGAAAGTCAATATTATAATAAATTGAATAAATAATTAAACGATTAAATGATTGAAATGTTTTAACATTTCATGTTTATATAAATTGTTTTATAAATATTAAAGTTAAATAATTAATCGAAAAAAACATATCTATTATCTAATGTGTTATAATTTTAAATATTTATTTTCTTAATAATATTATTATTATAACATTAATTATTATTTGAACCATACTTTTCAACTAAATTTTCCAAAAGTTTAGGTAATTTTGTTAAACTGTTTTCCCAACAAATTCTTTGTGATATTTTTTGCATTTTTTCAGTTAAAATATTATCATTTAATAGTTTTTCAATAGCTCTCAATAGTTCCTCTTCAGAGCACTTGTAGGCATCGAGTCGTATACCATAACCTTTTTCATCGACTCTCTGTGCGTTATCGTACTGATCGCTAAACAGTGGCATAACTATCATAGGTTTGCCAAATGAAAACGTTTCAGTAATAGTATTGTTTCCGCCGTGAGTTATAACCAAATCAACTAATGGCAAGACATTGATTTGTAGTACACTTGGCTGACCCCACATATTATCAGGTAAATCATACTCATCACCTAACGGTCCTTTCGATACAATAAACCTGTGCTGAGATTTTGCAAGTATACCGACTAAGCGTTTCATGTTATCAACATCTGCGCCTCCCATTGAACCCAACGAAAAATATATGAGATTTCCCGGTTTATCCCGCAATTGTTTCGGTAATTCAAACGGCAAGTGTTGATCATTTCTCATAAAATTATCAAAACGATACCAATTGTCTGGTAGTGGCCGTACGTCTTGATAATCCAATTCCAATGGATAGTCATATATATTAAGATATTTAGAATCGTTGATATATTTTGGGAACTTTAAGGGCGGAAAACCGTTTGCTATTTCCAATGCATTCATCCGATCCCATGATTCTTGAATTCCCTTTTTATATATATTTCTAAATCTTTGCCATTCACTGATGGGACCCGCTATTGGTAATCCTATTATGTATTTTTTTAAAAATAAAATAATAAAATAATATAAAAACTACTACTACTTACCAGAAAAAAACGGTGGTGTCCTATCATCGTCTAAATAACAAAGCGGATTACAAGTGCATACCAATACCCAGGGTATACCCGATTTCATAACCGACATAAGTGTCCCAAACTGATCGACTAGTATGACGTCGGGTTCGACATCACGTATTGCTTGTTCAACAAAGCCGTCAATAAAATGTTGACTTTCATAGAAAGCTTCCGCCCATTTCAAATGTATGTCTAACTTTTCCCAGGCATCGGCCGGTCCAATAATACCCGACTCTATCAGTCCCAGTCCCCAGTATTTGACACCCGATTCGGCATTTTTTCTATTTTCCTGCGACCACAGTATCTCTCTGATGCCATACGTTTCCATTTTACCCTTCCATAGATTATTGATACCGACTGTACATTTGTGTCCCGATTTCATCAGCACCTGTGACATAGCTATGACCGAGTTTACATGTCCGGCCCCGTCAAACGGTATAAATAATATTTTTAATTTTTTATTTGACATTATTATTATGTAAATAAATCAAATAGTAGATTTTTATTTTTTTTATTAATTAACTATATTATATATGTATATTTAATAATAATAATAAACAATAATATAAATTATTATAATTATAACACTTTTAAAAAAGCTTTACAAACACTTGTGTTGTTGTTTTTTTATAAAATTCAATAATATAGTAATTTATATTTTTTAAATAACTATTTATATACTGTATAATCAGCAATAATTATTGATACAGTACATGCATTATATAATTAATTATCAAATCAAAATGTACATCATTGAAATTGAAAATAATTTTTTTTATTTTATTTTATTTTAAGTGAATCAATAATAATACTGTAGTAGTAATACTTATACAAGGTTATTTAAATTATTATATTATAAGTTATATAAATTTATATATAATTTATAACTTACCCTAAATTATAAGTACAGTAAGTGTGTTTAGCTGATAATTTTTTTTATTATTATCAAATTATAATATAAACTTTATAATGTGTTATAGATTGCACTTATAAACTCCTGTTTCCTAATGCACTTTATTTTCAAATTTATATATTATTAATATTATACTATTAAAATTTTTTAAACAATTTTTGTTTTATAATACAAAAAAAATGTTTATGAATTATAAAAATTATATATATATACTAGTTTTGCCCGCACAACATGTATAGTCGTGCAATTCTTTTGCTAATTTTAAAATACTTATAAGTAATTCGAATGATTGCCTAATTTGTTTTATATAACAAACTACTTAACCTAATGTAACAAAACTTTATAATCAATACACAATAATACGTCTAAACTCTTGAGAATTTTAGATTTTTATGTATATTTAAATAATTTTATAAAAATTTAAAAGTTTAATAATTTTTATGAAAAAAATTTGCATTTGAAAAAAATTACAAAATTTTTCGCTTTTAACTAACCTCCCGGTGCCCTGTGATTCATACAATATAGCAAAATGTAATAACACAGCACCTGCCTACCTGTCCATAAAGCCTAACTGAGCTCAATAATCATTTAAAATTTTCCATAGAAATAACATTGCTTTAAATTCAAATTAAAAATTTTAACACAAATAGAAAATTTTTGCATTTGAGAAAATTTTATAAAAATTTAGCACAGGTAGCTTACCTCCCGGTGCCCTGTAACTCATATAATATAGTAAAGTGTAATTACACGACACCAGCCTACCTGTCCCTAAAACCTACCTGAGCTCAATAAACATTTAAAATTTCTCATAGAAATTACATTGCTTTCAATAAAAATTGAAAATTTTAATAAAAATTGAAAATTTTTGCATTTGAAAAAATTTTACAAAAATTTAGCACAGGTAGCTTAGCTCCCGGTGCCCTGAGACTCATACAATATAACAATATGTTATTACACAGCACCTGCCTACCTGTCCCTAAAACCTACCTGAGCTCAATAATCATTTAAAATTTCCCATAGAAATAACATTGCTTTAAATTAAAATTGAAAATATAACAATATATTTTTAGCTTTGAATTAAAAAATGGTTGTTGAGGAAGTGTGCACACATACAAACAAACAAAAAAACAAACAAACAAACAAACAAACAAACAAACAAACAAACAAACAAACAAACAGACAAAACTATTATATTAAATTATAGAAGATATATGCTAACAATGGTTTATCCAATTAGGCATAATATTAAATTAATTACTAATAAAATTTAATTTTTTTTTAATATTTTTATCTTTAAAATTATAATCATTATTATTATTAGTTGAAACATATTTTTCAACTAAATTTTTTAAAACTGTTTTCCGCATGAATTCTTTGCGATATTTTTCGCAAATTTTCAATTAAAAGTTTTATTATTTAATAGATTTTCAATAGAAGTCAATAGTTCGTCTTCAGAGCACTTGTAGGCATCGAGTCGTATACCAAATCCTTTCTCTTGAACTCTCTGTGCGTTATCGAACTGATCGCCAAACAGTGGCAAAACTATCATAGGTTTGCAATATGAAAACGTTTCGGTAATAGTATTGTTTCCGCCGTTAGTTATAACCAAATCAACTAATGGATAGACATTGACTTGAGATACAACTAATCTCACCCCACATATTATCCGGCAAATCATACTAATAATAGATAAAAATATCGTTACATAATAAATATAAAAAAACATTATCTTTATGCGAATATAATTATAATTAGGAAATAGCAAAATAAAATACTTTCTATTATACATTTTAGTAAATTAAAAAAAATTATTAAATACATTACAAATTTTATATTTATCTTACAATGTCTTAAATTTATTAAAAGACAAAATAACGCCACATTAAAAATAATATTTTTAAAAAACATTTATCTTTAAATGCAAATAATATTATTATAATAATCACTAAAATTATGATATAAACAAATAACATATAAAAATCGATAATTTTTGTTAAATAAAAAAAATTATAAATAATATTAATTTAATTAATGACATGTTTTCATGAATATCTATATTTATTAATATCTAACTAATAATTTGTTCGTCAATTTTATTATAAAAATTAATACTCAAACTATTATTTTTAACTAAATTTTCTAAAAGTTGAGGTAATTTTGTTAAACTGTTTTCAGTAAGAATTCGTTTCGATATTTTAGCCAATTTTTCAGACAACAGTTTATTGTTCAATAGATTTTCAATAGCTGTTAACAATTCCTCTTCAGAGCACTTGTAGGCATCGAGTCGTATACCATAACCTTTTTCATGGATTCTCTGTGCGTTATCGTACTGATCGCCAAACAGAGGCATAACTATCATAGGCTTTCCAAATGAAAATGTTTCGGTAATAGTATTGTTTCCGCCGTGAGTTATAACCAAATCAACTAATGGCAAGACTTGTGTTTGCGCTACACTTGGCTGACCCCACATATTGTCCGGTAGATCGTACTCATCACCTAACGGTCCTTTTGATACAATAAACCTGTGCTGAGATTTTGCAAGTATACCGACCAAGCGTTTCATATTATCAACATCTGTGCCGCCCATAGATCCCAATGAAAAATATATGAGTTTTCCCGGTTTGTCCCGCAATTGTTCCGGTATTTCAAATGGCAAATGTTGTTCACTTCTTAGAAAATTATCAAAACTATACCAATTGTCTGGCAGTGGACGGACGTCTAGATAATCCAATTCCTGTGGAAAGCCGTATATATTGAGATATTTTGAATCATTAATTAATGAATTTTCTTTTAATGGCGGGAATCCATTGACCACTTCAATGGCATTTAGTTTATCCCATAACTCTTTCATAGCATCTTTAAAAACATTTCTAAACGTTTGCCACTCACTAATGGGACCCGTTATCGGTAATCCTATATTTAGTTATAAAACTTAGAAAAATGTAGTAAAAGTTTATTTTTAAAAAAATATGTATTATTTATGAATTCATACTAACCTGAATAAGCCGGTGGTGTCCTATTGTCATGCAATAGGGCTAACGGATTACAACTGCATACCAATACCCACGGAATACCTGATTTCAGTACCGAAAATAGTGATGAAAATTGATCGCATAGTATAACATCTGGTTGAACATCTAGTATTGCTTGTCTGGCTTTATCATCAATTAGGTGTTGATTTTCGTAGAAATCTTTAGCCTCCCGGACCTCTGTTACTGCTTTTTCCAGAGCATCTCCCGGTCCGAGAAAACCTTTTTCTTTCAGAAACAGTCCCCAGTATTTGGCGGCCGATTCGTCAGCATTTTCACGATTTTTTATCGACCACAGTATCTCTCGGATACCGTACGGCTCCAGTTTACCTCTCCATTGATCACATATTGCAAACGTACACTCGTGTCCAGATTTGATCAATACCTGTGCCATAGCTATGGCCGCATTTACGTGACCCACGCCGTCGATCGGTATAAACAGTACTTTTAATTTATTGTTTGTTTTAGACATTATTTAGTTTATATTTTTGAAACAACACTAAAAATTGTTTTTTAATGTTTGAAATTTATAATTATTAATATTTAAGCTGCTATTTATATAGTAAATCAATTATTAATGTTATTATTATCATTATTAGATTGGCTAATCAAAATTTATCTTTATAAAAAAGTAAGTAACATAAAATGTGCTATAAATTGTACTAAAATTTTGTAATAAAATGCACTTTATTATCAATTACTATGTTTTGCTGATAATATAATCTATATAATATCAAAATAAGTAGTTAATTGATAGATAAATATAATGCAATTCAAAAATTACAAATAATTATAACTAAACAAATGTATAAATTAATAGTATTTTAATTAAACATATAAGACTAATATCAAATAATAAATACAATTAAAAGTTTATATTTTGTATTCATAGTATAGTTTTTAAATTATTACATATTATTTTCTAATTTTTTTCTTATAAAAAATAAAACCATTTTTAGAAATTAAATCTAAATATTATAGTTATACTTATATTATATGAATAAACATAAACAATATTTTAAAATTTTTAATATAATAAAATTAAAATATAAAATATTCAAAAGTAGTGAATACATAAACAAAATTTTTAACTACAGTGAGGGGACCCTAAATTGTAACGATTTTAATTAATAATTTAAGTAATTTATGAAAATATTTTATAAATCAAATGTTTTTAATATGATAACCCATATACTTGACAACAAGTCTGTACTGTTTTTTCAATGAAAATAATTGTTTTGAATGACTTATTAGCGTAAACTCTTCAACTCATTTTTTATAACTTTCCAGAGCCCTGATATTACTTAAAAAGCCTATATATGTAAACCATTTTATGATAATTTTTCGGGTAAATAAGTAAATATTTTTATATATTTATGACAAACAAACAGTTAAATATTAAAATGAATTGATTTTAAATTTAAGCTTAACTTTAATTAATTCTAATACCATAATTGAAAACGACCATAAAATCTGAAATTTTGTTGATTTTTTACATGACAAACGCGCGGTTTAATGGGTAAAACATAGATTTTAGTAAATTTTTTTATTATTTTTTGTTTTAAATATCAATATACTACATATATATGCTTCACTTTTGCATACTTTTATTTAGTTAAATATTTTACAATTCTTTATTTATCATCAAATATGAAAATATCGACTGGAAAGGTATAGGATGTAGTCATCAACGTCTGATGGCTATAATATTTTCAAAAACATTTTTACACCAATAAATTATATATCATAATAAACTTAAAGCATTGCTTTACTGTTTTATAAAATAATTTTCAACATTATTTCTATAACTTTTTCAAAAATTGCTAAAAAGTCGTTACAATTTAGGGTCCCCTCACTGTACTAAACAACTTAGATATAACTTTATAAACAATATTCAGTAAAAATCAAGAAATAATTAAAAAGTTATGAAAAAAATGTATTATAAAATTAATTACAAATTATTTGTATTAAAATTTTCAATCAAATTCTCAATAATTTTCGGTAATTTTGTTAAACTATTTTTCGTACGAATTCTTTGTGATATTTTTTTCAATTTTTCAGATAATATATTGTCATTAACTAGACTTTCAATAGTTGTCAATAGTTGCTCTTCAGAGCACTTGTAGGCATCGAGTCGTATACCATATCCTTTTTCATGGACTCTCTGTGCGTTATCGAACTGATCGGCAAACAGAGGCATAACTATCATAGGTTTGCCAAATGAAAACGTTTCGGTAATAGTATTGTTTCCGCCGTGAGTTATAACCAAATCAACTAATGGCAGGACTTGTGTTTGCGGTACACTTGGCTGACCCCACATATTGTCTGGTAGATCGTACTCATCACCTAACGGTCCTTTCGATACAATAAATCTGTGCTTAGATTTTGCAAGTATACCGACTAAGCGTTTCATATTATCAACATCTGTGCCGCCCATAGAGCCCAATGAAAAATATATCAGTTTTCCCGGTTTGTACCACAATTGTTGCGGTATTTCAAACGGCAAATGTTGTTCACTTCTCATAAAATTATCAAAACGATACCAATTGTCGGGCAGTGGTCTTATGTCCAGATAATCCAATTCCAACGGATAATCATATATATTAAGATATTTTGAATCATTAATATATGACATTTCCTTTAAAGCCGGCAAACCATTGGCCACTTCAATGTCATTCAATATTTTCCACGACTCTTGCATTCCTTCTTTATATACATTTTTAAATGTCTGCCACTCACTGATGGATCCAGTTATGGGTAAACCTATTAATTATTATTTAAAAATTTAACAATTATTAACTAATATTTATTAGTATAAATATTATAAAAAATTTAATTAAATAGACTTATTTTATTTTTTTACCAGAAAAAGCTGGCGGTGTTCTGTCGTCCCGTATAAACGCTAATGGATTACAACTACATACTAATACCCACGGGATTCCTGATTTCATAACAGATAATAGCGAAACCATTTGATCGACTAGTATGATATCGGGTCGAACCTCACGTATAGTTTGTTCAGCATTTTTGTTGATTTCCTGTTGCATTTCGATCACTGCTTTCTGATCTTTTAACATAATTAACGACTTTTCCAGTGGACCTTCCGGTCCAAGTATACCTTTTTCTTTCAGAAACAGTCCCCAGTATTTGGCGGCCGATTCGTCAGCATTTTCACGATCTTTCATTGACCACAATATCTCTCGGATACCGTACGGCTCCAGTTTACCCCTCCATTGATCACATATGCCAAATGTACACTCGTGTCCTGCTTTGATCAGCACCTGTGCCATAGCTATGGCCGCATTTACATGTCCCGTACCGTCAACTGGCATAAATAGTACTTTTAATTTTGTCATTATTTTTCAAAAATAATTAATTAATTATTATACACTTAAAAAAATTATTAATTTAAAATATAATAAGCCACTGTTTTAAGAATTTATATTTTTCTTTATATACTGTATAGTATATCTATAATTTAAATTGTATTTTATTTGCTAATTATTATATACCTATATTATAGTATTAAACCTAATGTACTAATATTTACTGATTTTTATTGATATCTTGATGTTATTACTTTATATTTGAAGTTTACATTTATTTTATATTATAAAGTATAATCATTATTGTTATCTTCAATATGATAATACAGTATACAATAATTAAAACATTAGTTTAATTTAACGTCACTAAAATAAATTTGTCTTCAATGTACCAAACTATAACATTTTGATTTAGTTAGTTTAACATATTAAAGACAAAATTAATATAGTTTTATAATAAAATAACTTTGTAGTTAATTGTATATCGATTAATATAAAATTTTGTATGTCATATACTTTTTAAATATAAAAATAAATCTATATTAAGTAATACAGTATTAACTAACAATGAAGTAATTTATTGATAATTAATTAGTATGCAATTAAACATGTATACGAAATGTATTACTGTAAATATTTTTTTTATAATGATTATATACCGGTATATTATTATTGATAAATTGATAAGTTTACATTTATCATATATAATGGTTAATATATTTATTTTACTTATATATCTAAGTTTATTTTGAATTAAAAAAACAGTTTAATGCACTAAAATAAATGTATTTTTAATGTATACGATTATTACATTTTATTTCAATTAATCAAGCATTTAAAAATTAAAATTCAATAAAATTCAATATACATACACAATAATTAAATAAACTTAATTAATAAAAATTATATAATTAATAATAATATAGTTTTTACTTAATAATATACAGTAAATACTTAATTATAAAAGAGTGTTTAGTTAACATATGTTTTGACTAAATTTTCCAAAATTTGAGGTAATTTTATTAAACTATTTTCCGCAAAAATTTGTTGTGATATTTTTTGCATCTTTTCAGCTAAAATATTGTCTTCAATTAGACTTTCAATAGCTGTCAATAGTTCCTCTTCAGAGCACTTGTAGGCATCGAGTCGTATACCAAATCCTTTCTCTTGAACTCTCTGTGCGTTATCGAACTGATCGCCAAACAGTGGCATAACTATCATAGGCTTTCCAAATGAAAACGTTTCGGTAATAGTATTGTTTCCGCCGTGAGTTATAACCAAATCAACTAATGGCAAGACATTGACTTGTGCTACACTTGGCTGACCCCACATATTGTCCGGTAGATCGTACTCATCACCTAACGGTCCTTTCGATACAATAAATCTGTGCTTAGATTTTGCAAGTATACCGACTAAGCGTTTCATGTTATCGACATCTGTGCCGCCCATAGAACCCAATGAAAAATATATGAGTTTTCCCGGTTTGTCCCTCAATTGTTCCGGTAATTCAAACGGCAAATGCTGATCGCTTCTCATAAAATTATCAAAACGATACCAATTTTCAGGCAATGGTCTAATATCTTGATAATCTAATTCCAATGGATAGCCGTATATATTCAGATATTTTGAATTATTAATATATGACATTTCCTTTAAAGGCGGTAAACCATTGGCCACTTCATCGTCATTCATCATTTCCCACGACTCTTGCATTCCTTCTTTATATACATTAGTAAATGTTTGCCACTCATTGATCGGACCAGTTGTCGGATAACCTATTGATTGGGTATTTTTTTAAAAACAAAATAAAAATTTTATAATTTAATTTATGTAAAGAAAAACAAATAAATAATACAATTATATATATATATATTACCCGAAAAAGCTGGTGGTGTTCTATTGTCCCGTATAAACGTTAACGGATTACAACTGCATACTATTACCCACGGGATTCCCGATAGTAGTTACGACATAAGGGTGACGGAAGGGGAAAGCACAGTGCTTTCCCCCATATAACAGTATGACGGAGAATAGGTGACGGAGATCACGTGACTCCACCTAACCTAACCTAAGTGTACTACACCAATGACGTCACCACTACCTCTACCTGAACCTTACCCGAACCTAACCTGACCAACTACCCGTACTGATGACCAACTACCCGAACTGACCAAATACCCGAACTGACCAACCACCCGTACTGACCAAATACCCAAACTGACCAACCACCCGAAGTGACCACATACCTGAACTGGCCACCTACCCGAACTGGTTAACTTACCGAACTGACCAACTTACCGAACTAACCAACTAACCGAACTGATCAACTACCCGAACTGACCAACTACCCGAACTAACATTAACTATTGCATACAATACATGTAATATAATGACATCACTGTATTGAAATAGTATGTACACACTGTATAGCAATAGTAATACATATACTGTATATATTAATTAACTTAAATTGTTAATAACTTTTTTAATTGTAATTAAAATTAAAATTTTTTATTCTTAAAAGATGCTTAAAAATGTGTAGTTTAAGCTAATAAAAAAAATAATTATGAAAAATTAACAAATAAGCGGTCAAATTAACAAATTAGTGTCTTATAGACTGTAGTACGGAATACATTGGATTGAGGCTAGCATTGTATTCAAACATACATCAAATTAACTCGCCAGTGGAAGATATCAGTGTATAACTGAGTCTTGAATTTATAATTTGTGATTATTTATATAAAAAAATAAAGTAAGCACAAAAAAATTTTTTTTTTTAAAAACTTTTCAAAAAAAAACTTCAAAAAAAAAACTTTACAAAAAAAATATTTTCAAAAAAAATATTTTCAAAAAAAATATTTTCAAAAAAACTTTTAAAAAAAACTTTTCTAAAAAAAAAAAACTTTTCAAAAAAAAAATATTTTCAAAAAAAAACTTTTAAAAAAAAAACTACAAAAAAAAAACTTTTCAAAAAAAACTACAAAAAAAAAACTTTTCAAAAAAAACTTCAAAAAAAAAAACTTTTTCAAAAAAAAAACTTCAAAAAAAAAAATTTTCAAAAAAAATTTTTCAATAAAAAAACTTTTCAAAAAACTTTTCAAAAAAAATTTTCAAAAAAAAACTGTTTAAAAAAAACTTTTCAAAAAAAAACTTCAAAAAAAAACTTCAAAAAATATTTAGAAAAATATTTTTCTTTTAAAATAAATAAATAGAAAAAATAAATAGAAAAATATTCAGAAAATTTAATAAATAATAATTAATTAATAAAAATAAAAAATTATTTTTATTAATTAATTATAAAATAATATATTATTTTATAAAATCTAATATTTTAACAAATTTTATAAAAGTATACTTTTCAGTATTTCAACTATTATTTTTATCGATCAATTCAACGCAATGGACAACAACAAAGCTATCCCGGAGCCAATGGTCGAGACGGAAGTCCCTATGGTCGAGACAATGCCGGTATCTATGGTCGAGTCGGAGGTTCCTATAGTCGAGTCATTGGCGGTCCCTATGGTCGAGTCAATGGTGGTATCTATGGATGACGCAATTCCAGACCCTAGAGAGCCAATGAATGACGAAATACCTAACTTCAACGAGCCAATGAATGACATGTTTACCGATGAGTTTAGCGATGATTTCTACGTAAATCTCGATTTATTGGTAAACAATAATTATGGTTTACCAGTACAAGATGGTGCTGGTGCTGATGAGTCGTATATGGAAAGTCAGGACTCACTTATGGACACACCTCCCGACTACATACCTGTCAATGACAACAACGACAATGACAATGACAACAATGACAACAACTACAACAACGACAACAACGACAACAACGACAACAACGACAACAACGACAACAACGACAACAACGACAACAACGACAACAACGACAACAACGACAACAACGACAACAACGACAACAACGACAACAACGACAACAACGACAACAACGACAACAACGACAACAACGACAACAACGACAATGACAACAATGACAATGACGACAATGACGACAATGACAACAATGACAACAATGACAACAATGACAACAATGACAACAATGACAATACAGGTATGTATTAAAAATTAAATAACTTATTATGCAATTATTATAATTAAAATTTTTGTTTAGTTAAACAATTGGTCAAGTTTCATGTATTGAATGAGTCATCTCATTCATACATTAAATTTAAACGGCAAGAACACCGTAAAGACATCCGCTTTCAACACAATTTGGGTTCAATTGATAATTTACTTCAATTAAATGATCAAATTGATGAGATGTATGAGTCATTGGTGCGACCGGCATTCCGTAACCACAATGTTGGCGATTATTATAGTGTGATAATTGAAGCACAGGGCTTGAATAAACCATTATATATGGGTGGAAAAGCAATCTCACAATTTGATAAACATGAGTTTGCCAACAAAATCTTTGGACTAATACAATCTAATACAGAGTTTTTACTTTCTGTATTTAAAATGAAAATCTATGTAACTGAAGCACCACAGGGATCAGGACCTAATATGAAAAACAAAAGACATTTACCACCAGAAACTTCAGATGAAAGGAGTAAACGTATAAAATGCATTGTTAGGATTGATAACAAAAATGGTATTTAAAAGATTATATATTTATTTTTATAATATTTACAAATATATTTATTCATATAATTTCAGATGTCGGTTGCGGTTATAGAGCTGTTTGGGTTGGTGTTATGTGGTTTGTCGAAAGTTTTACTAATCAAACACTTCGAGGAAACAGTAGGTGGAGAAAAATTACTGCTAACAATAATTCCGACAAATATCAAAAAGAAGAATCGGAAAAGCTGTGTAATTTGGCCGGTCTTGATTTCAACAAACCTTTTGGAGAAAAACATTGGAATCAAATGCAGGAGTATCTCAGCACTATTAAATTAACTGATGGTTCAAGTGGATTACAGTTGATAATTGTCGACTCATCAAATGTCGACAATTATCTATTTCAAGGCTCTATAGATTTTCCCAACAAATTATTTATGGAGCACATCGACTACGGTAAAAACACTGGACATTATAATTTTATTAAAGACATCAATGCTTACACACAAATATCTGATCTGTGTAAGTATTGCTTAACAAAACATCAGAAAATAAATCATTCATGTAAATATGTGTGCAACTACTGCTCAACATATCCAAAGTGTGACGTTAACAGTGATAAAGTAGACTGCGATTTATGCAATCGTAGTTACGCAAATGATAAATGTTATCATAATCACAAAGCTCACAATATCTGCAAAGTAAAATCAAAAATATGTAGTACTTGTAATGTTGAATACTCAACTCATAGAAGAGCAAAACATGTTTGCTATCAACTAAAATGTACAAAATGTAGTGTGTATTACAAAGAAACACCGCATTTTTGTTATATAAAACCTTTGGATATAGAAAAACTGGAAAAAGAAGACAAAGAAAACAAACTAATAGTTTGTTTTGATATTGAAAGTGAACAGATAGCTCAAAATAATGGTTTTTATGATCACAAACCTAATCTACTCATTTCATGTAAGTTATTATATAATCATTTTAAGAAATTACAACTAATTACAAATATTTTACACAGTATGTGTTTGCGACAAGTGTTGGGATTACCAACAAATGGCGAAAAGATGCGATGTCTCAATTGATGAACCAAATGACGGATGTAAAGTGTGCGGATATGGTATCCGTACATTCTATAAAGAAAATGTAGTCGAACAGTTTTCAGACTATTTATTCAAAGATGTCGCTGTAAGAGCTTCAAAAATTAAAGCACAGCTATACGTAATTGCACACAATTTCCGAGGATATGATGGTCACTTCATATTTCAGGAAATGTTTGGAAGACAGTTTGGTGATCCGAGTGATATAATTATGAATGGTATGAAAATACTTAAAATTACAAACAACAACACATCATTCATAGACTCGTTGAGTTATTTCCAACAACCACTGGCTTCACTGCCAAAATCGTTTGGCTTTCAAAACATTGTCAGCAAAGGATTTTTCCCCATCACTTCAACAGAAAAGAGAATTACGACTACTCTGGTGAAATACCAGATATCAAACACTTTGGCATTGATGAAATGAGGTCTTCAAAAGAGTGTGTGGAGTGGTATAATGACTTCAAAGCAAACAATTACATATGGAACTTTGAACAACAAATCAAAAAGTATTGCTTAAATGATGTAATAGTACTCACAATTGCGGTGATGGAGTTCCGCAAACTGTTCAAAAACTTCACTGGTTTGGACCCCATAACTCGTAGATTCACATTAGCCGGTGTTGGACTGGAGTATTTTAGAGCTAAAATTCTAAAAGACAATATGATTGGTGTCACACCTATCAACGGTTATATCGATGGACGACATAAGTCAAACAAAGGTAATGTATGGCTTGATTGGATGGAGGAGAAGAGAGGTGTAAAAATCTGCAGAGAGATGAGAATTGGTCAGAACTATGCTGATGGGTGTATTCGAGATGGTGTACTCGGAGAGATATTTGAGTTCAATGGTTGCTATTGGCATGGATGTCAAAAATGTACCCATCTGTTTAGCCTTAGAAACACCTATGATGGCAATGAGCAAGTAGATCCTATTAAAGATTATCAACGAACAATTGAAAAGGTATTTATATAAATAATTGTATTTATACAATTTTACTTACATTTATATATTTTTAGGAAACATATTACAAGTCTAGAGGTTTCAAAGTGACATCTATTTGGGAGCACGACTTCGATAAACTGTTGACAACTGATGTTGAGTTCAAAGCATTCCACAAAAAACGTATGGCATACTATAAAACAATTGACAAAATAGGTCACGCAAACATACGTGAGTCGTTTTATGGTGGTCGTACAAACAATTTGTACTTCAACGCCGACAGTACCGGTACAGAGTTGATTAAATATAAAGATGTGTGCAGTCTGTATCCGACTGTACTTTCAAAATGCGAATACCCTATTGGTCATCCATCTATAATCAGTAAATTTATCGACACCTCAATTTATAATTACTTTGGATTCATTAAATGTAAAGTATTACCACCTAAAGATCTATACATTCCTGTATTACCATTAAAATCAGAGACCAAAAAGTTAGTGTTTGCATTATGCAATCAATGTGCAAAAGATATGAGCCCTAACAAATGTAGTCATAGCGATAAAGAGAGAGCTATCAGCAGTACTTGGTACTCTGAAGAGCTTAAATTAGCAATAGAAATGGGATATAAAATTCTCAAAATATATGAAGTGTTGCATTACGAACGCAAAACAAATGAAATATTTAAGCCATACATACAACAATGGCTTAAACTTAAGACCGAGGCAAGCGGATGGCCTGACAATTGTACTACTGATGAGTTAAAGCGAAACTACATCAGTGAGTATCAGAGTCGTGAAGGTGTGGATTTAGAGTTTAATAAGATGTCACCAAATCCTGGTCTCCGCTTCATTGCAAAGTTAATGTTGAATAGTTTGTGGGGAAAACTAGCCCAAAGACCCAATCAAAAACAAACTAAACTTTGCAAAACATATGACGCATACCGTAGTATTATATCTGATGCTAAAATACAAATAAAAGGTTTGTTAAAATACATTATAAAAACATAATAAATTAATATAAAATATTTATTTATTATACTATACTTTAGGAGAAATTATGCCCAATGATGAGACTATTTTAGTCAATTACCAATACATTGACGACAACTATTCATCTGCTGGCAATACAAACATAGCATTGGCCTCGATGGTCACCGGTAATGCTCGTATTCATTTATATCGTGAATTACACAATATTGAAAGCTCAGCAAAGGGACGGGTCTTGTATTTCGATACAGACTCTGTAATCTATCGACACGACCCTACCAAAGGGTGGTACGACCCTCCGATCGGTGATTTCTTGGGTGATATGACCGATGAAATAGAAAAAGATTACAAAGAAGGGTCGTATATCAATTCGTTTACTTCATGTGGACCCAAAAACTATGGTTATCAGGTCGTTACTGGTGATGGCCGTGTGATTCAAAAAGTAAAAGTAAAAGGCATTTCAATCACTGAGGAAGTAAAGCATAAAATAAACTTTGAAAGAGTTAAAGAGACTGCTCAACACTACTTTAACAATACACCAATCACAACACTGGCTCCACAATTATGTTTCCGTTCAGATAAACTGCACAACGTGACAACAAATAAAGTAAATAAGATATATCAGGCAGTATCTGAAAAACGTAGAATTGTTAGGGGACACCCTATTTATCAAACTGTCCCCTATGGATTTTATGAATAATATGTTAAAACTATTTAATACTATTTATATTTATATTATTGTACTAATTATTTGAAATAAAATGTGATTAAAAACTATTTTTATGTTTAATTTATTTACATCAACTATAAATAAATATCTAAATATAAAACTAAGAATACATATTGAGGTCATAATTGACTATATAAAGTAATGTTTTTAATAAAATTATTTTATATTCATTAACAAGTATGGCTAAACGACACTTTAAAGACAGTTATTTAAGAAAACTATTGGAAGGTATTGTATTTTATATTAATATATTTTATTAATTATATATTAAAATTTTTATATTATTTCAGAGCCACCGTTAAAGAGACCAAAACAAGACCAGTGCATTCAAACTGAATTGATTCGGCTAAAAAACATGAAATTTTATATGTTGTCAGAGCCGGGAATGAAAATCATCGTCGATAGACTGACTGCAATTGGACATAAAAATGGTATAACAGAAGATACTAACAAATTAGTAAAATACTTGTCTGAATTGGCTACCTGTGAATGGAAATTTGATACAAAATCAAATGTATAAAATTTTATAAAAGATGAATAAATTTTTTTTATTATTAAACCTATGTTTTATTTAAAATGAATTGCATTAAAGTGGATCGAAAACACATTTCATTTAAACACCCATTCACTTGTATGGTCGCTGGACCTACAAGTAGTGGTAAAACTGTACTACTTAGAAATATATTGGAGAATTATAAACAAACTTTATATTTTACTGATATACCAAATAAGTTAAAAATTGTGTGGGCATACGGACAATGGCAAGAATTGTACACTAAATCTATTGCTGACTGTGATATACAATATATTGAAGGCCTACCCAATGAAGAAGAAGTAAAAGAGATTAAACCTCATCTCATAGTTATTGATGATTTGATGACTGAGTTGGGAAATAATGTTAAATTAGCAAATTTATTTACTAAAGGTAGTCATCATATGAATATAAGTGTGATATTTATATCACAAAATATATTTCATCAAGGGTCCCAAATGAGGACAATTAGTTTAAATTGTCACTATTTGATATTGCTTAAAAACCCAAGAGATAAAAGACAGATAATTAGCTTAGCCTCACAGATATATCCGGAAAACTCAAAATACTTTATAGAAGTGTATACTGACGCCACATCTGTTCAATATGGTTATATTAAAGTAGACCTAAAACAGGATACACCTGAAAAATATAGAGTACAAACAAATATTATACCAATTAATAATAAATTGAAAATTATTTGCTATATACCTAAGTAATGTCTGATAATTTGAAAAAATATTTTAGAGACTTGCAGTTTGTTTCTAAAATAAAATGTAAGAAAACACAAAAAACATTATTGAATTATTTAGCTAAAGACCCAAAAGTATATTTAGCTATAAAAGAAATTGGATTAAATGTTATAAAAGGAAATATAAAAACTAAAAAATTGAATAAAAGTAAAAAACTTTTACTTAAAAAGTTTGAAAGGAAACAAAGTTTAAAAACTTGTAAAAGTGTTGTACAAAAAGGAAACGCTTGGATGTGGTTAATACCGTTACTAACAACTGTATACGAATTAATAACAAAATAATGTCATTCAGAAAAGTTGAATTGGTTACTAATGATAGTGATGATGACATCGATATGGATATATCTTCAATGAGTGTGGATAGTAAACCATTTGAAAAAATTAAACAAAATACATTAGTAACTAAAAACATTGTTGACAATGTTACAAATGATAACAATATTAAAAATAATTTGCCGAATATTAATAATTCATTTCTAAGTATAATAGAAGATATGGTTTTTAAAGTATTAATTAAAAATAATTTAATCAGTACAACTAAAAAACAAAGCAAAGTTACTACAAAAGTTCATAAACCTAGCAAAAAAGTTGTTAAAAAAATAGTAAATAAAAAGACTGTTAAAAAATCTAAATCTAAAAAATCTATACAATGGATCAAAATATAAATGAGTTGTTGAATATAATATATTATGATCCACAAAATAGTGGATCATTTAGTGGTGTAAATAATTTGTATAAAACTGCTAAACAATTAAATCCAAATATAACATTAAAATTAGTAAAAGATTGGTTAAAAGGAGAGTTAACTTATACTCTACATAAACAAGTACACAGAAAATTTATACGAAATCCAATTGTTGTGACATATATTGATGAACAATGGGAAGCAGATTTAGCTGATATGAGAGAATTTGCTAATAAAAATGATAAATATAATTATATTTTAACAGTAATTGACTGCTTTTCTAAATTTGCATTTACTGTTCCATTGAAAGTAAAAACTGGTAAAAGCATTACAAATGCTTTTAAAACATTATTTAAAAACAGAAAACCATTATCTTTACGTACAGATAAAGGTAAAGAGTTTTTAAATGAAATATTTCAAAAATATCTAAAATTAAATAGAGTCAACTACTTTCACTCAAATGATTATAAAATAAAATGTGCTATAGTTGAACGCTTTAATCGTACATTAAAGTCACGTATGTTTAAATACTTTACTGCTAATGGTTCGCGAAGATATGTAGATGTACTACAAAAACTTGTTAAAGCATACAATACATCATATCACAGATCTATAGGTATGTCACCTATTGAGGTGACTACAGAAAATACAAAACAAGTATACAATAACTTATATGTTAAATCTAAAAAGTTTAAAACACCAGATGTCGCTACAGGAGATAAAGTACGTAAAGTGTACGAAATGTCTAAATTTGATAAAGGTTATTACCCTAACTGGACTGATCAAGTCTTTACTGTAGTAAAGACTATAAAAGGTGATAATCAATATGTGTTTAGACTAAGTGATGGACAAGGAAATATTATTGAACAGCGATTTTATCCACAAGAGATCCAAAAGATCAAAGAAAATCTATACCGTATTGAAAGAGTTATTAGAAGTCGTGTTAGACGTGGTCGTAGACAGTATTTTGTTAAGTGGTTGAACTATCCGGAAGAATACAACAGTTGGATTGATAGCATTCAAGATGTCTATACTAAATAAATTGTGTAAAACTGAATTAATTTTGTTTACTATTCAAATGTCATTAATGACAATTGTAATATTTGTAAGCTTAATTAACTTAACTTTTGAAATTGGCAACAAAAATTTATGGGCAATTATTTTAACTAGTTGTATTGGTTATATAATGCCTAACCCTAAACTTAAACTATGTAAAAATGTTATAAAAGGCTCTGATACTGTATTTTAAAAATAAAAATGAATTGTTTACTAATTAACATATTGTGTTTTATTTTATTTATTATATTTGTTGTTGTATTATTATTTTTAAGAGATAAAGAAAAAATTATTTGGAATTGTTATTTTGATAACAATACACAAATAAAACTTTGTGAATAATGAGTAAATATATTACTTTAGTTAATAATGTCAAAACATTTGACAATACAATGTCTGATTTTAGAACAAAATTAGGCAAAACAGTTAAACTTGATGATAGTTGGTGTGTTGGTATATCTGAAATAACTTATACCAAATCATGGTATAATATATTAAATGATCATAAAATTACATTATTTGATGAAATGGGCCGTATATATGGTGATAAGTCTAATCAATATGATGATAAGTTTACACTTAAAGCTGGTTATTATGAAACACCACAGAAATTAGTTAATGAAATTAACAATATTTTGACTTTATTTACTGATATTAAACCACCAAAATTAGTTTATAATGAGATTAATAATTTTATTACAATTAATGTTGGTATAGTTGAAAGTGTAGTTAAAATATTTCCTGACTTGGGTGACGAAATTGAAAACATTTTAGGATTAAAAGATAGAAAAGCTACACATAATTATTATTATGGTAGCAATAGCTTAGTTAATATAGTATTCAATGGAATTGAAAATAAAAATACTATTAAAGGCTTTCATCCCGTAGAGATTAGTGGTGGTTTTCATTCACTATATTTATATAGTGATATTGTATACCCATCACTAGTTGGTGATACATTTGCACCTCTACTGAGAGTAGTTGAAATACCGCGTAAATATAAATTTGGAGATACAGTACATTTAAATTATGAAAGACCTCAATATAGACCTGTAAGACTCAATGAATTTGAAACACTTGAAATATCTATAAAAGATGATAGTGGTTTATCTATACCATTTAAATTTGGTAGAGTAACTATAACATTGCATTTTATTAAAGTATGAATAATCCATATATTGATTACTATAAAATCCAAGCCGGTAACGGTATTGTATCTTATGCTGGGCATAGATACCAGTCCGGTAATGGTATATTTGGTAAAATATTTAAACACATTAAACCTGCATTAAAATATGTAGCAAATAAAGGATGGGATGCATTTAACGGTATTGGTAATGATATACTATCTGGTAAATCATTCAAAGAAGCCGGCACAAATCAGTTGATAAGATCAGCTGATACTATTTTAACAGATGTTAAAAATAAAGTTTCTAATGTTAGACAACAAAAAGGTTTAGGACGTAAACGTAAAGTTAAAACTAAACTAAAATCTTATAAAAGACGTAAAACAGTTAAGAAAAAACAAAGAAAATACTAAAAATGTCTACAATACACGAATTATCATCTCTAATGACACTTCCAGAAATGGATGTGTTTGGAGTACCACCAACACAACTAATGATTGAACGTGATGTTCAAACTGAACACCGTCCAATAAGTACATTATCTAATTCAACAAATACTATTGAATTTGAAATACATACAGGCTTAAATGAATATATTAACTTAAGCAAAAGTGAACTTTATTTATGTTTAAAATTTAAATTACAAAAGTCTACTGTATCAACAACACCTGAAGTTAAAGCAGAAGACTGGAAACTAATATCTCCAATCAATTATTTAATGCATTCATTTATTAAACAAATTGATGTAAATATTGGTCAAACAACTGTTACAACATCATCAGTGAATTATTCATATGTGTCATATATTGACACTCTTCTTAACAGTAATAGTGATGCTAGAAATACACATTTAGAGACTGCATTTTGGCATAAAGATGAGACACCTATGGATTCGGTAAATGAGATAAGAAGTAGTCGTATACGACCGTCAGGTAACTCATTATCTGACGGGTGTGAAGTCGAAATGTATGGCAATTTGCACATTGATTTAGCATCGCAAGTAAAGTCTTTACTTGGAGGGGTCACACTGAATATTAAAATTTACCCACAAGATCCCAAGTTTTATTTAATTTATGATAAAACATTGATACCAACAGTTGAAATAATGGACGTAAGATTGTTTATGCATAAATCTATTGTTAACCCACAAGTAGTTGTGGCACACAATAGAGCACTTGAAAGTGCTAATGCCCGCTATTTTATTACACGAAAGGAAGTAAAGACATCAATTATAGCTAAAGACACATTAGATTGTTATTTAAATAATGTCATCAATGGAGTGATTCCTAGAAAAATATATATTGGTTTTGTTAGTAACGAAGCATATAATGGTTCATATAATATGAACCCATTTTATTTTAAAAATTACAATATCCGACACATTGCATGCTATGTTGATGGGACTCAATATCCACACAGACCATACACACCAGACTTTGCAAATAAAAAATATATGCGTGAATATTTTGGATTATTTGAAACAGCAAATCAAATCAAACACTCAACAGATATTGACATAACACGGGAAGAGTATGCTGAAGGTTATACACTATTTGGATTCAATTTTACACCGGATTTATCTGATGGAGTAGCAAAAAGTGGTTATGTATCAACTGTGGTTAGAGGTAACTTACGAGTTGAACTAAAGTTTGCCTACCCTATACAAGAGACTGTAACTGCAATCATATTCTGCGAATATGATAGTTGTGTAGAAATAGAGAGCTCAAGATTTGCTATTAAAAATTTTCAATAAATATGAATACATTACAAATAAATAACTATTTTAAAAATTGTAATAAATATTATGGTACATATCCGAGAGATATGTTACCAAATATTATACCAAAAGATAGTGGTGTTATTATTAATACAGATAAAGCTAGTGATGCTGGTGAACACTGGGTTAGTGTATACAAAACAAATAATGATAGCATTATATATTTTGATTCATTTGGATTACAACCACTACATAATGATATCTTAAATTTTATAAAAGACAATACTGTAAACGGTTGGTATTACAACTGTATTAATTTTCAAAGTGTATACTCTAATACTTGTGGATTATATTGTATTTATTTTTTAACTAATTATTTTAATGGCGGATCATTTGAACAAATCCAAACTGTGTTTGGTTTTAATCCTCACATTAATGATTGTGTTGCTAAATTATTATGTAACTGGTAAATGTCATTTATCAGATGTGTATAAAAATTTTAGTGATTATTATAGAATATACATTAAAATAAAAGATATTTATAATGAAAAGTTTCTTATTGTTATGACTAATGTAAACGTAATTAATGGTACGTTAGCAAATATTGCGTCAACATATAGACATCGCATTGAGCGCTATTTTATAGAAGAAGGGTTTCCCCTCAACAACGAACACGATTTACTTTTTATAGTAAACAAACTTAATCTGTAAAATGAGTAAAATTAATCAAATCTGTGGTGTAATGGACGCACAAGGTTTTGTTTATAACAATATCTTTGTCCCCCGTGAGATTGCAATAATATCTCACACTTGTAAAATGTCTGAGTTGTGTGAGACAAACTTAACTTATAGAGATATGGAATTGAAAGATCGGATTACTAACCTTTATTTGGCCAACAACTTATTGGGATTATCGTTACGTACAGTAAACACTGAGATAACAAAAAACTCAACAATGGATGCCAAACAAATTATTATTCAGATGTATGAGAAAATCAAAAGCAAAGAAAAGCCATACATTGGAATTAAGTGCTCTCAATTGGCGGATATATTGGACATGTGCGCTATACCTTACGTTGAATTGGATCAGTATAGATGTCCTAGTCTTAAGACATTAAAGAGAATGTATGGAGGCCGTTCATGTCATTTTCATGAACGTATCATACCCGATAAATCAGATATGAGATGCGCTCAACACAAATGTGAGCTATTGTGGAAATGGCTTAAAAATTACTATTTGTTTTCATATTAAAATGTAAATAATTATACAATTTTTATTTATTTATCAGTAAAATTATTTTATTCAATTAATTTGTTTTGTTTATTTATTACAATATTAGTTTAATAATATACAATAATTACATTAATTAAGATATTTAATGATTTCATCTTTCATTGACAATAAATTGTCAATTTCAGGGAATATGACATTTAATTTTTTAATGTTACCATTACTAATGATACTAAAACAATACAATTGTTTTTTCAAACGCATGAATGAGATAACTCGATGATCTCCAAACGAACCAAAGTCTTGGTTTTCTAGCTTTTTCAACAACTCTTTGAATTCATTACCATATAAATAAACGCCATGTTTGGTGTAGAAGACATCTTCTCCATCATTGCAAACAGTCAGTCGGATGTCCACAAATTTTTCACCGTTTTCGTGTTCCAATACACGAACAAATTTGTCAAATTTGTTTTCACCATCAGATTTGGTGAAAATGGATTTTTGAAACAATGTTTTGCCAACCATTTTGATGATGAAAAATTTAATTTACAATAATAATCAGTTATAACAAAACTAATAAACACTAATACAATAATAGTGTATACACTTTGCTTTTATAAGTTAATATTTTATAGAGTAAACAGGATTTACGATAGTGTAATACACTATTTGTTGTTGCAATAGTAGTTAAACTACTTATTGCAACAGATGTTGCAATAATTGAAGCAATAGTTGTTAAACAACTTGTTTCAACTGTTTTTGTAATAGTTGATGCAATAGTTTATGAGTTTATAACTACATCAACATTTATTATAGTAATACAATTTGCATTATCAATATGCCTGTGATAACTAATGTTTCGATGACTGCTGATCTCTTTGATATGATTGGTTTTATTGATTTAAGAAAATTGTGTAACAACTGTTGTAATTGTGTATATCACAATTACCCATTTGTGAGAGTAATTAAACGGTATCGTAACCCTAATGCCACGGTTATGATATACGACTCTGGTAAACTAGTATGTGTGGGTGCAAAATCAAAAAATGATGGTCGAATAGCATTACGAAAGACTGCTCGCATAATACAAAAACTCGGATATGATATCAAATTACATAACTTACGTGTGACTAACATTGCTGCGTCACATAACCTGAAAAACGACTTGAATGTAGAGAAACTGATGAATCAATTTAATTGGAGCAGTAATTATGAGTTGGAAATATTTCCACATTTGAGGATCAATTGTGGTAATAAAAGACATATAACTCTCACTAGAAAAGGGAAAATGATATTGACTGGTGTTTATACTAGAAAAGCATTGAATGAATTATATGAAGAGTTTATGTTTAAATACTTTGATTACTTAATAAACAAATAAATATGAAGAAAGTTAGATTTGATGACAAAATACAGATAAAGACTATGTATGTTTGGTCATATGCTTCAAGACAGGCTCGTATATCTAACTGGCATTGGATAGTTTTTAACAGACGTATTCATGAATATTAGTGTAAACTAATTGAAGAAAATATATCATATGTATTAGATAAAAATTTTAGAGAGAAAATATTTAATGAACGCTTTTGTAAATAAATAAAATGTAAATAAATTATAAATATTATTTTAAAAATAAATGTATTTATATTTATTTTGTTTACATCTACACTCATGTTAGGTCACATGATTTCCGCTATCCCCTCTCCGCTAATACATCGGAAGGTTGACCAGTTCGGTAAGTTGGTCAGTTTAGGTAGGTGGTCTGTTAGGTTAGGTTGGGTTAGGTTCGGGTAGTTGGTCAGTTCGGTTAGTTGGTCAGTTCGGGTAGTTGGTCAGTTCGGGTAGTTGGTCAGTTCGGGTAGTTGGTCAGTTCGGGTAGTTGGTCAGTTCGGGTAGTTGGTCAGTTCGGGTAGTTGCTCAGTTCGCGTATGTGGTCAGTTTGGGTATGTGGTCAGTTCGGGTAGGTGGTCAGTTCGGGTAGGTGGTTACTATGGGTAGTTGGTCAGTTCGGGTAAGATGGTCAGTTCGGGTAAGATGGTCAGTTCGGTTAGGTTGTCGGTTCGGGTAGGTGGTCAGATCGGGTAGGTGGTCAGTTCGGGTAGGTGGTCAGATTGGGTAGAGGTAGTAGTGACGTCATTGGTGTACTTCACTTAGGTTAGGTTAGGTGGAGTCACGTGATCACGTGAACCCCCTCTCCGTGACACAGCTATATGGGGGAAAGCACTGTGCTTTCCCTCATGTGAACCCTTAGGTACCAACTACTCCCGATTTCATAACCGATACTAACGAAGCCATTTGATCGACTAATATGATATCGGGTTTCAGTTGACATATAGTTTGTTCAACTTTTTGATTGATTTTGCGATGCATTTCGACAATATTTTTCTGATCTTTTAACATAATCACTGCCTTTTCCAGTGGACCTTCCGGTCCGAGTATACCTTTTTCTTTCAGATACAGTCCCCAGTATTTGGCGGTCGATTGGTCAGCATTTTCACGATCATTCATTGACCACAATATCTCTCGGATACCGTACGGCTCCAGTTTACCTCTCCATTGGTCACATATGCCAAACGTACACTCGTGTCCCGCTTTGATCAACACCTGTGCTATGGCTATGGAAGCGTTTACATGACCCGTACCGTCAATCGGTAAAAATAGTATTTTTAATTTTTTCATTATTTCAAAAAAATGATTAATAAAACACTAAACCTTATATAATTTTATTTTATTTCTAATTATTAAAAAGTATTATATTTGTTACTAACATTGTACTAAAATTTCATTAACTGATTTGTAATCTTAAATAAAATAAATAAATACTTACTTACAGTAACTTACTGTCCATGAAATTTAGTCTATACTTTACATTACATATGAATTGATTACATTGTATTATAATCATTAATATACGATATATTTATTTAATTTTAGCATTAGTACACTAAAGTAAATGTGTCTCTAATGTACTCAATAATTACAATTTTAATTCAATTTATAAATCATTTAAAAATAAATATTTATAATTCAATTGAACAGACACAATACAATACTAAAATTAATTTAGTTAATTTATAAAAATATTACTTATCACCTAATATAGAAATTATTTAATTATAAAACAGTATTTAGTTAACATGTTTTATATTGATAAGTAATTTTATTTAAATTTAAAATCACATAACTTTACTAATATTTCAAAATTGTTTTGTGTTAGTTAGTAAGTAAGTGAATTAGTTAGTGAATATTATTAATTAAAAAAATTTATCTATATTAACGTGACCCAGTTCAAATGCATTGATATGATAATTATTATTTAGTATCATTTTAAAATAAAATATTTATAATAATATTTATAACAATAACAAAAATTATTAGTAATATTATAAGCTTTATCAAACTTATTTTCTATTATTATATAGTTATCATGAATATACAAATTTTCATTTATGAAAACATTATTTTTAAATATATTATATGTTATATTAATAGACAAAATAACGCTATATTGTCAGCCAAGAGGCCGACAATTAGATAAAAGGATGGTTTGATAATAGATAACGATTACATGTAGTGATTGGGTTGAGGGACAAAACGTTACTAAAGGGTGGAAAGGGATGTGATGTCTATATGAGCGGTATATTATACATAATATTTAAAAAACAATTATCTTTAAATGCAAATATTATGATAATTATCACTAACATAATAGTTTACTATTAAAAGTAAAAACACTTTTTATTAAATAAAAAAAATATTAAATACACTTCGCCATCAAAATACTCAAATATTATATTTTAAATGAATTAATAGTAGATTTAAAAATTAATATTTATTTAATATATTAATTAATTTTAATATTTGTATTATTAGATTAAAAATGTATAATATAATATTAAACCATTAAATCATATAATTTCTCAGTTAATTTAAAATAATTCTTATATAAAAAAAATTTACTAAATTTTTAAATTAAATTAAAACATTTTCAAGAGTAAACTTAGATAATATTTAATAACAACATTCAGTCATATTAAGTCATGTTATATTTATTTATATTAATTTATAATTTATATTTTTTTAAGTAATAATATTATTACCATATGTTTGGACTAAATTTTCGAAAATTTCAGGTAATTTTGTTAAACTATTTTCCGTACGAATTCTTTGTGATATTTTTTTCAATTTTTCAGATAATATATTGTCATTAACTAGACTTTCAATAGTTGTCAATAGTTCCTCTTCAGAGCACTTGTAGGCATCGAGTCGTATACCAAACCCTTTTTCATGAACTCTCTGTGCATTATCGTACTGATCGCCAAACAGTGGCATAACTATCATAGGCTTTCCACATGAAAATGTTTCAGTAATAGTATTGTTTCCGCCGTGAGTTATAACCAAATCAACTAATGGCAAGACATTGATTTGTGGTACACTAATCTCACCCCACATATTGTCTGGTAAATCATACTCATCATCTAACGGTCCTTTTGATACAATAAATCTGTGCTTAGATTTTGCAAGTATACCGACTAAGCGTTTCATGTTATCGACATCAGTACCGCCCATAGAGCCCAATGAAAAATATATCAGTTTTCCCGGTTTGTCCAGTAATTGTTCAGGTATTTCAAATGGCAAATGTTGTTCACTTCTCATAAAGTTATCAAAACGATACCAATTGTCGGGCAGTGGTCTTATGTCCAGATAATCCAATTCCAATGGATAGCCGTATATATTCAGATATTTTGATTCACTAATTAATGAATTTTCTTTTAATTTCGGGAAACCATTGGCCACTTCTATGTCATTAAACACTTGCCACGTCTCCTGAATGTTCTCATTATAGACTCTATTAAATGTTTGCCATTCACTGATGGGACCGGTTGTCGGTAAACCTATTGATTATTAATATAAATAAAATTTTAATTTCATTATTATTATTTTTTGTATTGCAAAAAAAATATTATTGTTATAATAAACTAACCGGAAAAAGCCGGCGGTGTTCTGTCGTCCCGTATAGATGTTAATGGATTACAACTGCATACCAATACCCACGGGATTCCCGATTTCTTAACAATTAATGATGACATTTGATCTAATATTATGATATCGGGTCGGACTTGACTTATGGTTTGTTCAACTTTGTCATCAATTTCTTGTTGCGTTTTGTTTACACTTTTTTGCTCTTTTAATATAATAACTGCTTTTTCCAGTGGACTAACCGGACCTAAAATACCTTTCTCTTTGAGATATAGTCCCCAGTATTTGGCGGCCGATTCGTCAGCATTTTGTCGATCATTCATTGACCACAATATCTCTCGGATACGGTACGGCTCCAGTTTACCCCTCCATTGGTCACATATGCCAAACGTACACTCGTGTCCAGCTTTGATCAATACCTGTGCCAAAGCTATAGAAGCATTTACATGACCCGTACCGTCAATCGGCATGAATAGTACTTTTAATTTTTTCATTATTTTAAAAAATAACAATCAAATTACACTTAAAACACTAAATCTTATTTAATTTTTAGATATATTTTATTATTATTTTTTCTAATTATTATAAATCATTATATTTGATTTCATTTTATTGAATAACATTTCAAGACTAATGATTATCTTAAATAAAATATATTTTTACTTTATGTCAATGAAATTTAGTTTATACTTTACATATGAATGGCTTACATTGTTTTCATTAATATACGATATATTTATTTAATTTTAGCATTTACGTAATAAGTTTATTATGATTAAAAAATTTTAGTGAACTAAAATAAATGTGTCTTTAATGTAACAAATTTTTACATTTTAATTCAGTTAATAAAAAAATGTGTAAATAATAACAATTTAGTTATCACCGATTATAACTAATATAAGAATTTATTACTAATTAATTACTTAATTATAAGAGAGAGAGAGAGAGAGAGAGAGAGAGAGAGACAGAGAGAGAGAGAGAGAGAGACAGAGAGAGAGAGAGAGAGAGAGAGAGTTTACTTGTTTTACATTTACTTAACATGTTTTACATTGAATTGTTAAATTATTTTGACTAAAAAATATGTCTAAAATAGTTTAATATAATACAAACTTATAGTAATAGTACATCTATTACCGAAAATAATAATTTTATTTAAACATTAATATCAATTAAATTACATAATTTCTTATTTATTCTAAAACTAATAAAATACTACTTTTATAAAAAAATTTTAGTAAACTTTAACACTAAAAAAATAAAATATTTTTCAATAGTAAATCTTTATTAATAACATTATCTATTGTCATATTATTTAATTTATATTCTTATTAATAGTATTATTATTATTAGCATATGTTTGGACCAAACTTTCTAAAATTTGCGGTAATTTTGTTAAACTGTTTTCATCACAAATTTTTTGTGATATTTTTTGCAACTTTTCAGCTAAAATAGTGTTTTCACTAAGATTTTCAATAGCTGTCAATAGTTCTTCTTCAGAGCACTTGTAGGCATCGAGTCGTATACCAAATCCTTTCTCTTGAACTCTCTGTGCGTTATCGAACTGATCGCCAAACAGTGGCATAACTATCATAGGCTTTCCAAATGAAAACGTTTCGGTAATAGTATTGTTTCCGCCGTGAGTTATAACCAAATCAACTAATGGCAAGACATTGATTTGTGGTACACTAATCTCACCCCACATATTGTCCGGTAAATCATACTCATTACCTAACGGTCCTTTTGATACAACAAATCTGTGCTTAGATTTTGCAAGTATACCGACTAAGCGTTTCATGTTATCGACATCAGTACCGCCCATTGAGCCCAATGAAAAATATATCAGTTTTCCCGGTTTGTCCAGCAATTGTTGCGGTACTTCAAACGGCAAATGGAGTTCACTTCTCATAAAGTTATCAAAACGATACCAATTTTCAGGCAATGGTCTTATTTCCAGATAATCCAATTCCAATGGATAGCCGTATATATTCAGATATTTTGATTCATTAAATAATGATCTTTCTTTTAATGGCGGGAAACCATTGGACACTTCTATGTCATTCAACATTTGCCATGTTTCTTGAATGCCCTCTTTATAGGCTGTATTAAATGTTTGCCATTCACTGATTGGGCCGGTTGTCGGTAAACCTATGTATTAATAATAAAAATAAAATTTTAATCTTATTATTTTTTTGTATTGCAACTTATAATTACAAAAAATAAATAATTAATTAACCGGAAAAAGCCGGTGGTGTTCTATCGTCCCGTATATATGTTAATGGATTACAACTGCATACCAATACCCACGGGATTCCCGATTTCATAACCGATATTAATGATGTCATTTGATCTAATATTATGATATCTGGTCGGACCTGACTTATGGTTTGTTTAACTTTGTCATCGATTTCCTGTTGCATTTTGTTTATATCTTTTTGCTCTTTTAACATAATAACTGCCTTTTCCAGTGGACTAACCGGACCTAAAATACCTTTCTCTTTGAGATACAGTCCCCAGTATTTGGCGGCTGATTCGTCAGCATTTTGTCGATCTTTCATTGACCACAATATTTCTCGGATACCGTACGGCTCCAGTTTACCCCTCCATTGGTCACATATGCCAAACGTACACTCGTGTCCAGCTTTGATCAGCACCTGTGACATAGCTATTGCCGCGTTTACATGTCCCGTACCGTCAATTGGTATGAATAGTACTTTTAATTTTGTCATTATTTTTTTTAAAAATATACACAAAATATTTAAAAAAAACTATTTTGAAAATATATCTAATATAAACTATTAATAATATTAAAGTATTTTACTATATTTGTTAGTTAGACTGTATGAACTAAACAAATTTACTGATTAATCAATATGTTTTATGTTCATTAATTTTATCTATCGATATACAACATAAAATAAATAATTAATATGTCCATGAATTTTTACTATAATTAAATGTTTATATTATATCAATATTATTTACTAGAAGTTGATTAGATATATGTATTAAAGCAAATTGTCAAGTTTTTTAGGAACTAATAAAAAGTAATTGTATGTTAAGATTACATTTAAAACTTTTAGTTAATTATCAAATAATTGATTGATAACTACTAAAACATTTAATAACTTAGATAGTACAGTATACTGTATTACTAATAATAAAATATACTAAAATAAAATAAATAAATAATAAAATATTTTAATTTAATTCATATTCTAATGCCATTAAAATTTTATAAGTGAATAATCATTATTATTTAGTTATTTAATTATATTGATTGTTAGATTAAAATAACAACTAAATAACCTTGATAATTTTTACATTTTGACACTACTTTATACAGTATTTATAGTTAGGGTAGTCTATACTATTAATATTTAGTAATTCAAAATCAGTTTCTAAATATAATATATAAATATAATTAACATTATACAAATATTTTTAATTTACAAATTTAATTTATGACTAGATTTTTGTTTATTAATAGGAAGATATATATATATATATATATATATTAATATATATAATAGTTATATACAGTATATATAATAAATCTATACTTATGAGCACTTGATTGACGAACATTTAAAAAGTTTCAAATTTAACGTGTATTTGAAAAAATTAATATATTTTAATATAACTTTAATTTAATAATAATATGTAATTAATTTTTAGTAATTTTTATCTCAACCTAATTATTATTTACGAGAAAATATATTATTTAATATAATGACCGGTTGTTCAATCATAACATATATCAAATAACTGATCAAATAAGTGACAAACATTATCCAAATTGTTGACATTATCTATAAAAAACAAAAATAAAACAAAAATTTATTTTTAAAAAATTAACTATAAATAAGTATATTAATAATATAATTACTAAATTGTCAATTGAATAATAAATCAATTGTTTTGTGTCAAAGATATATCTAAACAATACAAGTGCATGATAGAGATTGGCCTGAAATGTTAGTCTACTTAACGGCACCAATGGTGGCCAAGCGAGAACCCGTTGGACTATATGGCCGTAACCGGTCATACAAGCGAACAACATGTAGGCCCAGCACACGGACCATAGGGTACGGTTGATGGCACCGTATGCAACACTCAACCAGTTTCGATAACTATAGCCTAAAATCCATAGATAGCCAACAGATATTATGGCAATATTTACAGTCACACAGACTGTCCATAAAATTATATTCAATTTCTATAAATTTAAATAATGAAAAACAAAATAATAAAAAACTTATATTTAATAAACATATAAAGTATATAATTAACCTTGCTTATTTTGAAACTATGCTTATATTTTTCATACAAATAAGCGGTAATTATACCGACACAATAGGGACCGATATGACCAACAATTTTTGAATAAATCATATCTAAATAATTTTGATCGCTTAAAATAAAAATAAATAAATAGATTTTCTAAAAAATTAATTATTAATAATAATTGAAATACACTTACCTAATTGCTCTAATTAAACTGGGCACTAAATGATAATAATTGATTATATAGCCAGCAATAAACCAGCTTGCTAATATACAAATAATATTTATGACAATTCCCATATATTGTTTTCTATAAATTAAAATTTAAATAGTATTAAAAAAATAATTATAATAATTGTTTTTTTGTAAACAATAAATATACCTTGTATCTTTGCTAGCTAATAATACAGTTAGTAATGGCGATAATATTAACAATTGCATGTCCACTGCTAAATGCCATGTTTGATGGGCACACTATATAACAGTATATATCAATAGCTTTACATATGTATTAATTAAATAAAAATTTTAGTGTAATATTCAAATTATTTTTATAAAAAACAAAATTTATATCCTAATAACTTTAAGACATTTGTTTTGTCTGTTTGTTTGTTTGTTTGTTTGTTTGTATGTGTGCACACTTCCTCAACAACCATTTTTTAATTCAAAGCTAAAAATATATTGTTATATTTTCAATTTTAATTTAAAGCAATATTATTTCTATGGGAAATTTTAAATGATTATTGAGCTCAGGTAGGTTTTAGGGACAGGTAGGCTGGTGTCGTGTAATTACACTTTGCTATATTATATGAGTTACAGGGCACCGGGAGGTAAGCTACCTGTGCTAAATTTTTGCAAAATTTTCTCAAATGCAAAAATTTTCAATTTGTGTTAAAATTTTCAATTTTTATTGAAAGCAATGTAATTTCTATGAGAAATTTTAAATGTTTATTGAGCTCAGGTAGGTTTTAGGGACAGGTAGGCTGGTGTCGTGTAATTACACTTTACTATATTATATGAGTTACAGGGCACCGGGAGGTAAGCTACCTGTGCTAAATTTTTATAAAATTTTTTCAAATGCAAAAATTTTCAATTTTTATTAAAATTTTCAATTTTAATTTAAAGCAATGTTATTTCTATGGGAAATTTTAAATGATTATTGAGCTCAGGTAGGTTTTAGGGACAGGTAGGCTGGTGTCGTCTAATTACACTTTGCTATATTATATGAGTTACAGGGCACCGGGAGGTAAGCTACCTGTGCTAAATTTTTGCAAAATTTTCTCAAATGCAAAAATTTTCAATTTGTGTTAAAATTTTCAATTTTAATTTAAAGCAATGTTATTTCTATGGGAAATTTTAAATTTTTGTTGAGCTCAGGTAGGTTTTAGGGACAGGTAGGCTGGTGTGTCGTGTAATTACACTTTGCTATATTGTGTGAGTTTATGGCACATGTTAGCTACATGTGTTAAATTTCAGTAATTTTTTTTCAAATGCAAATTTTTTTTCGCAAAAATTAAATTTTCAATTTTTATTAAAATTATTTAAATATATATAAAAACTAAAATTTCTCAAAAGTTTAGTCGAATTAATGTGTATTGGTTCAGTAGTTTTGTTACATTAGGTTATGTAGTAGTTGTATAAACAAATTAAGTCTCATTCAAATTACTTATAGTAAATATTTTTAAATTAGTAAAAGAATTGCACGGCTATACATGTTGCTCGGGACAAACTAGTAATATATTATAAATATATGCTAAAAAATATTACAGTATAGATATAATAGACATACTGTATAACCTTTAAATTAGGGTTAAGTAATGTATTGGATTTTAGAGGGTATATAATGGGGTAAAAATCCAAAATCTTAGTCTTATTTGAGTATGTTTTGTCTTACCCGCCCATACCCTACCCTACTCTTGCGCAACCTCATGATACATATATAGATAATTTTTTACTAACTAACTAAATAATAATTAAATTTTTAAAACTAATAAAAAGATTGATATAATGCATACATCGGTATATAATTTTTGATTATTAATATAAAACATATTTGTCCACCAATACTGATGACACGTTTGTCTATTAATATCAACGTATAGATGCCATAGAGGAGATGGATGTGATGAATCTGCACCTGTATGTGTTAACTGATTGAACCAATAGTGTTCTAACAATACTAGACCAGCAATATATGCCAACACCGATGGTGTTAGTCTAACATATCGTTTGAAAACAATCAGCAAATATTGATAGCACCACCAGTTGCCAAACCAATTGTCCGTTTTTCTCATACTAGATGTTGACCAACTAGTTTGTAGAACATTGTAGGCGTGCAGGAATCCCGATACCAGGAATAATGTATCGATCCATTGAGTTGCGTTAGTAGTAAAGTGTTGCCAAAATGTTTTGTCCAATACCTGTACGTTATATACATTAGCTATAAATATAATAATAATAATAATATTATAAAATAATCAATAAAAAATAATAATTAATATTTATAAAATATATATATATATATTGTATATAATTTAGTTAACTGTATGTTTATTTTATCTAAATCTAAGCTAAATTTTTTTTATTTAAATAATCTTTAAAACTTAATAAATTTGATTTATTACTCACAAAAAAATTATTAAATAGACAATCAATAAATACTTTATAATATAAATTTAAAAAAATAAATTATTTAAAAAAAACAAATAATTACTAAAGATTATTACTAACCAGCTATTAGACTATAGAGATAACACGTGTGACAGTAGATAGTTAGCACTAATGTTATTAAACGTATACCATGCAAACTAGCAAAAGCCTGGGAATCGCCAGCACTTTGGCTACCGGTGCTCAACAATTGTCTAGTATTTGTGTACAATGAAAATGCTTTCAACGATTGCCATAATTTTGGATATCTAGTAATAGTTGTAACTGACATCCAATAATAATAATAATTAATAATTAAAAACAAAATTATAAATATTATTTATTTATAATATTTATTATACCTGTTTTCTTAATAAATATTTGTCTTAAACTTATTATTGTACCAACAATTGACAAAATTAATATTATTAGAAATATTGCTCTAGATAAATTTATTTTTTGGGGAAAAAATAATATTGGCCATTGCATTAATTTTTATTGTATATAATATTTCTAAGTTTACATACATAATAAATTTATGATACCATTCAACTGGGTTATTGTCATAATAATGTAGACCATAGTTAGCTATTAGATGACTGCTATTAGTGTAAACTTTTTTTTTAAAAATTAATTAATTGAAAAAAATAAATTATAACAAACTTTATAACATTATAAAAATTATTAGTAATCTATAAAATAATTAGTAAATATTTTATACGTTATTATGCTATACAAAATAAATAAATATATATTTAAAAATTTATATTTTATTTTTTTTAATACTGTCTATACAAATTTAGCTTACTTAACTTAATAAAATTATCCAGGACACTAGCATCACAATTATTACTTATTAGTAATGGCTTACGGGGACAGTTATCAAAATAATCCAACTGTCCATCACCATTGTGTCCCACAACAATTGAATTATCACAATAATAATCGAAAAGTTTGTTTAAAATTATGTTGTTTTTAAAAATTATGTTATCATTGCATTGTATATAATTTAATTGAAAATTAATATAGAATAATAGGATTAAAACATTAAAATTTAGCATTATATATATATTAATATAATTAATAATAATATTTTTTTAAATATAGTTTTCAAAACAAATTTTAAATAATAATTTGAATTATTTGTTGTACATAGATTAATAAATCAGTGACTTTAAAATAAAATAAGTTAAATACAAATTGTTTAATAAAAAATATTATAGTTTTTTTTAATAATAGCATAAACTATTATTGTATAATTTTTAATATGTGTTAAATAGTCATGACTAGTGTAATGCATTTGAAATTTTAAAAATGAAATTTTTTAAATATTTTGACTGTCATTTTCACCAAATCCTTGAATAAATAGGTTATTTTAATGCTTATCATCAATACATTATTTTTTATGTTTTAACAGAATCTTAAGTGAAAAATTAAAAATTTTAATTTATAATAGTAATAATTATAATAATAATGCAATATATTATTATGAAAATATTTATAATTATTTGATAATTGGCTGCTTTTTAAGTCAGAAACTGCTTATAAATATTTAGACTAACTTATAAAATGTCTCCTATTTATGGATATCCTAGGTTTCCTGGATTTACTGTATAATTTATATACAGTATATTAAACTTTAATTTAATTAACAGTAAACTGTAAATTTTGAATGAGTTTAATCTTGTATTGTATTATATACAGCCACTGTATGTTAATATTACATTATATTAATGTTTATACACTTTAATTAAAAATAATTAACTGATAATAGAGTTAATGTATGAAAAAACATTTAAATGGAGATATTAACTCTTAAAAATAAATTGAATTGAATTTATAATTGATAATTATTTTTATAATTTATTTAAAATTTAATTCTTAAGTTAAACCTAAAACTAAATTAAACATTAGTTTTAACATTTGTGAACCAATTCTAGCAAAAGTTGCGGCAATTTTTCAATACTTTTTTCCGATTGAATTCGTTGAGAAATTTTGGACAACTTTTCTGTCAACAAATTGTTGTTCAATAAACACTCAATGGATGACAATAGTTCCTCTTCAGAGCACTTGTAGGCATCGAGTCGTATACCAAACCCTTTTTCATGAACTCTCTGTGCGTTATCGTACTGATCGGCAAACAGTGGCATAACTATCATAGGTTTACCAAAGTATATCGTTTCCGATATGGTATTGTTTCCGCCGTGAGTTATAACCAAATCAACTAATGGCAAGATTTCCAGTTGCGGTACACTTGGCTGTCCCCACATATTATCAACTGGCAGATCATAATCATCGCCTAACAGTCCTTTTGATACAATAAATCTGTGCCCAGATTTTGCTAATATAGCTATCAATCGTTTCATATTATCGACATCTGCGCCGCCCATAGAGCCCAATGAAAAATATATTAGTTTTCCCGGTTTGTCACGTAATTGATCCGGTATTTCAAATAGTTTAGTCGACGGTTTGCTATCATATCGCATAAGATTATCAAAACGATACCAATTGTCCGGAAGTGGTCTTAGGTCGAGATAATCCAATTCCAATGGATAGCCGTATATATTCAGATATTTTGAATCGTTAATAAATGCCATCTCTGGTAACGGCGGTAAACCATTGGCCAACTCGTTGTCGTCAAACAATTTTTTCAATTTCCGCGATCCAGTCATAAGTGCCTTACGATACGACTGCCAGTCCTCTTTAGGCCCGTTAGTTGGCAAACCTGACCGATAAATATTTTTTTAAATAAAAATATTTATTTATTTTTTACAAATTACTAATAATTATTAGAATTTAATTTTTTTTAGTTTCTATGTATAGGTAAGTTATTTTTTAAAAACTTTCTAAACTATTCAAACTTAATATTAAAATATAACAATATAAGTTTTTTTTTAATATTAAATATTTTTTATGAGCATATAAAAAGTATAATTATAATAATAATTATTAACATAAATTATATGAAAAAAATTATATAGCAAATATTTTTTTTTAATATTTAGTTAAATTTTAATAGTTAGTATAAAATTAATACTTTAAAATCTAAAAATAAAATAAAAAATAACCTAAAAATGTTGTCTAACCTGAAAACCATGGGGGTGTACACTCATGATGTATACTTGTTAATGGATTGGCACTACACACCAGTACCCACGGTATACCCGATTTGGTTACCGACGGTAGCGACAAAAACTGGTCGCACACTATAACATCGGGTCGGAGGTCACGTATTACTTGGTTAACGTGCAGATCCTGTTGCTGTTGAAATGCAAACATCTTATCGCAGTCTTCCAGCTGTAGAAGCGCTTTCTCTAGCGGTGTTGACTCGGATCCCAAAATACCCTTTTCCTTCATAGACAGGGCATGCGATTTGAGGTATTGTTTTTCAGTATTTTGCTTATCCTTATCATCAGTTTTATCATCCCTGTCCTCAGTTTCAGTGGTATCCGATCCAACCATACGTATACCGTACGGTCTGAGTTTGTCCCGCCAATCGGCGCCGATATCAAACCAGCACTCGTGTCCCGATGATAGCAATACCTGTGCCATACCTATAGCGGCGTTTACGTGACCGGTGCCGGCAATCGGCACAAACAATACTCGCATTTTTTGTTTCATTAATTTTTTTTACATTAAAAATTCATTTGAATTAAATAATTACAAAGTTTTTTTAATGTGGTTTAAATTTTGTTTTTTTTCATTTTATTATATACTGTACTGTATTTTTATATCCTTTTATGATTTGAAATATGTATTAATAGAGTATATTATCAATTTTTATAACAATAATTACCAGAGTTTAATAGTATACTTCAAACGGTGCACTTAATGCACTAAATTTATTGTAAATAAGTTTGAAAGTGAATTAGCAAACTATCTATACATTACACACACATATATACTATATGTATAATATTGTATATAAATTATTTAAACTAAAATACATAGAAAACCAGTTAAGAATGCTAGAAAGCATTTTCAGAAAAAAAACTTGAATAGCATTGAAAACCATTAGTTTGTATAATTATAGCGGCTATATAGTAACATAAAAATTTAAAAATTGGTCAAATATACATAATATAAATATTGTCATGTATGGTATCAAATGATTCAGTATGACAAAATATTCTCAATTTTAGTCATGCAAGTTATCAAATGACTCAATATGATAAAATAAACACAACTTTAGTCATGTAGAGTATCAATTGACTCGGTATCACAAAATAAACTTAACTATAGTCATGTGGGGTATCAAATTACTCGGTATGACAAAATAAACAACTACTCATGTTTGTTATTAAATGATTTAGTATAACAAAATAATCATCTATAATTATACTTTTGCCGCTTATACTTATTCTTTGTTCCATTAATATCAAAATTTTAATGCATATTTTTTATTCTTGTTTTTGATGCTTTATTCAAATCTATAATTAAAAAAATTTCTAAAATTTTCTTATACTTTTCCCATTTTTAAAAAAATGTTGATATATTATATCATATTTTTGATGCTCTTTACAATTCTAGACGTTAAAATTTTTACCTAATTTTTTTACTTTGGTCGTCATTTTCTTTATGTTCCCGAAGAGATCAAAATTTTAATGCATATTTTTTATACTTGTATTTGATGCTTTATTCAAATCTATACTTAACAAAAATTTTCTTAAAATTTTCTTTACTTTGGCCGCCATTTTTTCTATGTTACCGAAGAGATATCAAAATTTTGATGCAACTTTTCAATACATTATTATTAGTCCTCTAAGCGAATCTGAAGTCAGAATTTCAAAATTCGCAAAATGAAATGCTACAGACAGACAGACAGACAGACAGACTCAAAAAGCCATTATAGATTTCAGTAAACAAAACTTTTCAAGTTTTTTTTTGATAAAGTGTAAAACTAGTGTTGGCAGAAACAAAATGTTAATTAAAATTAACTCGTAAAATTAAAATCATATTTAAATTTATTATAAAACATGATAATTTTTGCTTATTATTTGTTAATATCAGTAATAGCAGTGATTTTGATATTAGGTGGCACTTACTTGTGTTTTGTATGTCAATATTGGTCATGTATTTTACATTATATTATTATTATTGTTATTAATACAAAGTGTATTATACAATAATAATAATAATAACATAATGTAAAATACATGACCAATATTGACATACAAAACACAAGTAAGTGCCACCTAATATCAAAATCACTGCTATTACTGATATTAACAAATAATAAGCAAAAATTATCATGTTTTATAATAAATTTAAATATGATTTTAATTTTTTAATTTTATTCCTATAAAACAAGTATTAATATTAGAATAACTAGTTTTCTAACAATTATATTGACATTTAATAATTTTAATAATTTTTTAACATAGTATACTGTATATTAGTTTTTAAATATGTATAATTCAAGGAATACATTATATTATGCTATATTTTTCCAACCCTAGTAAATACCGCGTTGCACTAATAGTTAGTAATGTAAATTATAATATATACAGTATATACTGTATTATATATAAATATTAATAACCTTGAATCTACAATATTGTCAATTTGTCTACAATTTTAGTCTAGTAAAACAGTAGATTTCACTAAAAATTAGTAATTTTATGTAATAGCTATAAAAAAATTTATTAATTAATAAATTTATTTTATAGTAAATAATTAGAGATTAATTAGTATTTTAGTTATTGATGACTCTGGCATTTTTATTTAGATAATTAATTTAGAGGTTTATTGAATTTATTTATAAAAATAAACAGTATATATATATATTCATTATAATTTATATAATTTTAGTTTAAACAATAAATAATAATTATTATTATTTTTATTTTCTATTATTAATATACTATTATTCATATATATTGATTGATTTATAACAAATTATTTTATGTAAATTTGCATTTTTCAAACACATTTCTATGTTTTTTCAGTTCAGCCATACAGGCCTCCAATTGTTTATTCTCATCGGTGGTCGGCTCCGGTAGGTTTGCAACGATTGTCATAATTTGTTTACTACACTCTTGTTCATTGTCTTTATGTTTATCGGATACTTCATTCAATTTATGTATTTTAGTGTTAACTTTGCCCATACATGTCTTAAATGTATCGACATGTTTGGCAGCATCAGTATCGTGACACTTACCTTATTTCAAAAATAACAAACATTTAAAAAAAAATATATATATATAATAAAATTTATTTAACCAAAAAATTTAATTCAACTAATCTAATATATTAATGACTATTAAAAAAACTATATATAAGAAACAATAAACAGCTATTTATTTATCCAATTTAGTAATTTATATAATTTATAAAACATTTAAAAGTTATATAAGATTTATATATATTGAATACTTACTGCAAAACAATATGGCCATAGCTTCGGCAACTGTTTTAGCATCGCTTTCGCATTGAATTACATTAAATGTTAATATTGTAGCAATTATTGCCACAAACAATAATAATTTAGTCATTATTTTTAACATTATAGTTATTATTATTTTTATTTTTAGTGAAAATAGACTCAAGTCAAAGATTGATAATAAATAATTGAAAAAAATTATATTTAATTTTAAAATTTATATTAAATAATTAAATGTACTATACAATTTAACTATAATTATTTTATTTAGTACATTGAGTCATTAAATAATTTTATTAAATTTTTTTATTATTTAATCAATTGTTTTTTAAAATAAATAAATTTAATATTTATTTTTTTATATAAAAATTTTTCTATTAATTAGTTAATATTTATTACAGTAGATAATTAGTTTATTAATGTACGTAAAATAACAAATTGCATAATTTTACAAACTGTTTGATAAGCTGCATATAAATAGTAATTTTTATATTTTTTTTGTTTTTTATCATTAAAATTTTCAAATATAATTATTTTAAAAGTATTAAATTTTAAACTGATTATTTTATTTCTATTAATTACAATAATACTGCTGATTAAATTACATTATTATTATATATATAAAAAAAATATTTTAAAACTATTATTTAAACACTAATAGATTTATTCTAATTAAACATTATAATACATTAAATTATATTAAATACCAAAATTTAATTTACATTTTTTTAATTAACTCGATGTGTTTGTTTAGCTCCTGTATGCAAACTTCAACAGTTTTCAATTCATCTTTAGTTGGCTCAGGTAGTTGAGTAACTGTCGACATAATTTGTTTCTTACATTCCTCACTATTGTTCATATATTTTTGTCCTAATTGTAGCAATTTGTTAGCAGTGTCCATTTTAGTCAAACATAATTTATATGCATCCATATATTTAGCACCATCTTTATCCTGACATTTATCTTGTAATTAAATAAAAAATAATTATTAAATATATTTTTTTAGTAGTTTTAATATATTAATTTTTTTTATTAATAACAGCAATATTTTAGAATTAAAAAACTTATAAATTAATATTATATACATTTTTTTTAAAGTAACTATTTATAACCAGCAATATTTTTAATGTTAGATAAAATACAATTAATATTATGTACAATTTTTCTAAATTAATAATAATATTATATTTTTAATTTGTTTGATAGTCACACTTACTACAATATAGTAGAGCTCTAGCTTCACCAATATTAATTTTATTATCACATTTAATTGAGCTAGATAACAATCCTAATAATAACATATATTGGTATATTAATTTTAGTTTTATCATTTTTATTATTTAATTAATACACAAATATAATTTTATTTTACATTATTTATAAATGTTAAATATGAAATTCAATATTTATATGAAATTTTTTTAAAAATATTAAATTACTTATATAATTATTTTTTTTTAAATAAAGGTAATGTTAGTTACATAATTAATTTTTGTTTATTTTATTAAATATGGCTATCAAATAAAGTATGAATATTAATTTAAAAATTTTATTTTGTTTACTCATATGTAATTTTTAAAAATTACAAACTTATTGTAAATACTTAATATAAAATGTATTAATTATAATTTTTATAAAAAAATTGAATTATCATTTATCAAAAGTTTCTATCTTTAATGCTTTTTTACTAACAATGTATTTATTATAAAATTTATTTTATCTTTAATTATCTTTAAAAAAAAAATATTATTACATAATTTTATTTTATAGATTGTTCAAACAAAATTTTAATTTATGTTATTTAATAATTTAGATTTATAAATGTATTTATTAATAGAAATAAAGTAATACTGTATAACAATATTATATTTTATAATATTATATAAATATAACAAATGTCTATCAAATCAAAACTGTCTGTTCATTATTTGAATAACTTTGTTATTATAAACAGAATTTAATAACACTATAATATTAAAAAAATAGTAAATAATAATTTAGTTAACTAATACTAAAATAATTATATTATCATTTATTTATCACATTTGTTAATCTCATCGATGGACTTATCAATTTGTTTCATACAATCAGATATATAATTAAGATGTTTAGTAGGCATATGATCGACATTAAAATTATTGTTAATATATTTGTTAACATTACGTAGACATTGGTCAACATCGGCACTGTTATCCGATTTAGGTGTACCAATATCTAGCATTTTTTTACACTCCGGGTCATTTTGCATACACTGTTTGAATGTGGCAATCAGTTTAGCACCGGCATCATTTTTGCATTTACCTATTTTAATGGAAAATTTTATTTAAAAAAAAAATAATTACAATAAAAACCCCAATTGAAATTGTTTTAGAAAGAGCATTGCCAGAAACAAATTTTAACTGTAATTTACTCCAAATACCTAATAAAATAGTCAACATATTAAAGTAAGTAAAATTGTCAAGATGAATAATTATATATATATATAGATTACCTAAAACATATTTTTTTATTAAATTTTGATAAATTTTATTTATTTTTTAAAAAATATAAACTATTTGTATAAATATAAATATTAAGCTTGTTAATTTTATTTACCACATAGTACTGTACTAAATGATTGCGCTTTATTTAGATCCCATGATATAAATGATTCAATTATTGGTTGTGATGTTGTTGTTGGCAAACAATTAGTAAATGTAACTAAAATTGAGATCAATAAAAATAATGATAATAATAATAATAATTTTTGCATTGCAATATTTTTTATTATAAAAATATTTGACAACTTGAAAAAATTGTTTTTTGATAATATTATTAAAGACAGTCTAAAATATTTGACAACATAAGTATTTATACGTAATTGTTAAACAATTTAATTAACATCAGACTAAATATTGTTATATTTGACATAAAATAAAAACAACTATAATCTAGTTTACACAAATTAAACATGTTCAAACATTATTTTTTATAAAATGTATAATATATGTACAAACAATTAAATATTAATAATGCAATTTATAGTTGATAAATTTTTAGCTTAAAATTAATGCATTATTTGATTTTTAAATATAAACTTATAAAAAATTATTTATAAGTTTTATAAATAACTAATTAAATACAACAATATTGTTTAAAATGTTTTATAAAGTTAATTACAGTATTTACATATTTAAAATACTTAACATATATTTGTACAAATGTACTATTATTAAAAAATAATTGTTAGCTACTAATTTAATTAATTGATTGTTTTATTTATTGGTATAATAACAAAATAATTTCAATATTATAAAAAAATATTATCTTAAATTTTTAATAAACTATTAACATAAGATTTCAAAAAAATTAAAAAAAAACTAAAATATTTATCATTCAGTAATTCAGTATAATAGTGTCAACAGTCTTAACAGTGTTTTCTTTATAAAAAAATATTAATTTATTAAATAATTACATAATATATATATATATATATTAAATAAAAAAACAATTATACAAAAATTTTTGAAAATTATTTATCACATTTCGAAATATCATCTTTGACCTTGTACATTTCATTAAAACATTTTTCTCCAAAATCGCTGTTTTCTTTTTTAATAGATTTAACATAAGACTCATCCTTAGCAAATTTAACTAGTTCAATTATACATTTTTCAATGCCCTGGCTCATTTTTGATTTACTTAAATCAATTATTTTTTTGAAAACCATATCCTTTTCCATACATTGTTTAAATTCGCCAATACTTTTGGCACCGACAGTATTTTTGCACACACCTATCAACAATAGTTACAGGTATGGTGTTTTTCGAGGTGTTAAATTGGTAAAATCAAAAAATAAAAATAAAAAAGGTAAAAAATTAGTAGTAAACAACAACAACAAAGTAAATTAAATAATTATATATAAATTTTGATTTTTTTAAAAAAAATATGTATAATTACCACATAATATAGTTTCTATTGATTGGTTATTATCCAAATCCCATGATATGTGAGCGTCAAGTGATGGTTGTCCAGTTGTCATTGAATAGACTAACCTATTAGTTAATATTGTTATTAATAATAACAATAATAATTTGATTATTGTCATAGTTTTATGGTTAATAATAATTTATAAACAAAAATTTGATTAATTGATAAAAATTATATATATATATATATATATATATATATATATATATATATATATATAGTAGTTCAAAGATAAAAGTTATATCTTATATATAGAAAATAATATAGTGTTTTAAAAGCTAACTAAACAATTAACTAATTTAATAGTAATTTAAAAACAATTGTAAAAATGTTTACTAACAGATAATTATATTTTATAATTAATAAAACTGAATAAACAAAATATTTTTTTAGAAAACATTATTATTTTATTTATTTTTTTAGTTTTAATTTTAACTATGCAAAATATTTATTATTGAATTTTAATTATTATATATTTTAATATATAATAATTAATTAATTAATTAATTTGTTTAATTTAATTTTAATTGCCATTTTTTATTTACTTTTATAGAAATAGAAAACTTTATTTTATTTTTAATATTGAAAATCTACTAATTAAAATAAAGAGTTTCAATTAAAAACAATTTTATTAAAATTTTTTTCGATTTTAAATTTATTGTTTACATTTCAAAATATCATTTATGACCTTGTACATTTCATCATAACATTATTTCACCAAAAATTCAGTTAACATTCCGTTCATTAACATAATATGTTTGACTTTAAACTAAAATTGTTTTTATTAAATGATATATAAATGTATTGTTCATTATTCAATAGTATAATACATTACTTTCAAGTTATAAGTAAAGTTTTTAATTATTTACTATAAAATTATGCAATTTATACTTACTTAAATGAAATACCTGTATTTTATTTTATTATTATTAAATAAATAAACTGTATAAATAATATACATATCTAACTGTTATAATTAAATGTAAAATTTTGTAATTGTGGTTACATTTTTATTATTACCATATTAATAATATACATTTTTGTAACATACAATTTTAATATATTATAATCCATATGAATGCATTTTATTGTAATAAAATAAATTACAAATAAATTAAGATAAATTTTTTAGTATTAATAATTTCGACATCATAAAGTTAGATAATTAGTTTTTTTGTTTATAATAATTAACAATTTTCAAAAAACACTTTTAAAATCTATTACAATTAGTATAATTATAATAACAGCCATTTAATAGTTAATCTTTATATATCTATATTTATTTTTTAAAAATTATATATATATATTAACATGATAAATAAACAAAATATTTCTAAAAAATTTCTAAAGTATAATTGACTAATAAATAATGTAAATATTTTTTAGAAATTATGATTTATATTTAAAAAAATTATATTAAAAAATAATATCATTAAGAGTATAGTTTTACTTATATACACTTTATTTGTTTTAAAATATCGCAAAAGATTATAGCTAATTTTAGTTATTTTTTAGCAAATTTTAAATAAATAATTTTGAATAATCAAGAAAAATATTAGATATAATTTAGTCAAATGATAATCTAATTATATTAATTTTACCAATATTTTAAAAAACTATGTTTCTACAAATAATATGTTTATATATTTAAAATTACATAATTATTTTTTATATAAAGAATTACTTATTAATTAATATAAAATTTTTAGTAAATATTAAAAATTATATATAATTAAAAATTATAACAATTATTTAACACATTTTATAATATCATCTTTCGATTTTATAATTTCCTTAAAACATTTCCTACCAAACTCTAAATGTTTAGCAGGCATAATTTTTTCATTGAAATTTTCATCATCATATTTGTCAACATTACGTAGACATTGATCAATATCGGCACTACTGTCCGATTTAGGTATACCCACATCAATCAACTTTTTGCATTCCGGATCATTTTGCATACACTGTTTGAATGTGGCAATCGCTTTAGCACCAGCATCGTTTTTGCATTTAACTATTTTTAATAATAATAATAATAATATCAATATAACATTTTATAATTATAAATAATTTGTTTTTTTTAAATAATTAAATTATGTGCTTGTTTATTTACCACATAGTAATGTACTAAGCAATTGCGGTTTATTTAGATCCCATGATATATAGGATTCAATTGGCGGCTGTGATGTTGTAGGCTCACAATTAACCAGGGTAACTGTAATTGTAATCAATAACAATAATAACCATAACATTTTTAGTATTGTACTAATTTTACTTTTATTTTTAAATCATCAATTTATTTATTTTTTAAAAATTTGCTGTTAATAGTTAAACTGTTTAGAAAAGTCTAAACAATATAAGTGTTAATAAATTAGTTTATATACTTGAATTATGACTATTTTATTGTTAAAATTATTAAAATATCAAACAGCTAACAAAATGTAATTTTTTTTTAATGTATATTAGAAAAATCTAATCAAACATTATTTGTTTCTTTTTATATAATTTAATAATACCTGTACATTATATTTTTATTATTATTATGAAATTAAAGTTAAATTACACAATTTATAGTTAATTATTATTGAATTTTTCATTTTATTGCAATTGCAATACTTTATCAAATAAACTGAACAAATAAATATATAAATCTTACAATATTTTGCACAAATAAAAATAATTAGATAAAAATTTATTAAATAATTTGTTAATTAAATTTAATATATTTATTTATAATTTATAATCATTGTTTTTTAAGATATAATCTCTATATAAATATTTTGCAATAATAAAAATAATTAATGTTTAAGTGTTAATGTTTTTGTTAATTAATTTAGTTAAACTAATGTTAATTTTAAATGTTAAAAATAATAACAAAATATAAAGAAAATTATAATTTATTAAAATTTTCTAAATACAATATATATACTGTAAATATATATATGTTTATATAAATTGATAAATTTAAGAACAAATTTATTTTAATTATATTTTTTAAAATAATAATGTTTAAAAAATCATAATTTAAATTCAGTCAATAAGTGTAAATAAAAATAAATTTTAGAAATAATAAATAAATTTATATAAATAAAATTTTATAGTTAAATGATAGTCATTGAGACCGGTTTCCAATATAGATTTGTACCTGTATTTCAAAAAAATGGTATTAAATTGATTTTTTAAAAATAATTTTAAAAATGCAATATATATTTTTTTATAAATTTTCATACAATATAGACATATTTAAAGCAAACGGATGCATTTTATTAACCAAATAATATCCAAACTCACAATAATATTTATGATTACTTAATGCTAATTTATTAACATTAATTAATTATTATAAAATATCAACAGTGTTTATAACTAATTTATATATTTTTGTCAGTTAATTTTAGTTTATATTTTTAGCAAATTATAAATTAATTATTATATATATATAATTTTTAATAAGTCAGATAAATAGTAGATATAATTTAGTCAATTACATTAATTTTACCAATATTAAAAAATATGTTTCTACAAATAATATATTTATATATTTAAAATTACATAATTATTTTTTTTAAATAAAAGATTACTTATTCAGTAATATAAAATTTTTAGTAAATATTAAAAAATTATATATAATTTATTTGAACCCTCATTATTTATCACATTTAATAATATCATCTTTTGACTTTATCATATCCTGAAAACATTTACTACCAAAATCTAAATGTTTAGCAGACATAACTTTTTCATTGAAATGTTCATCAACATATTTGTTAACATTGCGTAGACATTGATCAATATCGGCACTACTGTCCGATTTAGGTATACCCACATCAATCAACTTTTTGCATTCCGGATCATTTTGCATACACTGTTTGAATGTGGCAATCAGTTTAGCACCGGCATCGTTTTTGCATTTAGCTATATTTTGAATATTAGTTAATTAAAATTTTTAATAATAATAATATCAATATAACATTTTATAATTAAAAATAATTTGTTTATTTTTAAAAAATAATTAAATTATGCTTGTTTATTTACCACATAGTGATGTACTAAACGATTGCGGTTTACTTAGATCCCATGATAAATAGGATTCAATTGGTGGTTGTGATGTTGTAGGATCACAATTAACCAGGGTAACTATAATTGTGATTAATAAAAATAATAACGATAACATTTTTAGCAGTGTACTAAATTTTATTTTTAAATCGACAATTTATAAAAAAATTGTTGTTAATATTTAACTGTTTAAAAGTCTAAAAATATAAGTGTTAATAAATTAGTTTATATACTTGAATGTTAACTATTTTATTGTTAAAATTATTGTGAAATATTAAACAGCTAACTAAATATAATTTTTTAAATATATTAGAAAATCTAATCAAACATTATTTGTTTATTTTTATATAATTTAATAATACCTGTACATTATATTTTTATTATTATTATTATGAAATTAAAGTTAAATTACACAATTTATAGTAAATTATTATTTAATTTTTCATTTTATTATATTGAAATTGCAATACTTTATCAAATAAACTGAACAAATAAATATACCAATATTTTGCACAAACAAAAATAATTAGATAATATTTATTAAATAATTTGTTAATTAAATTTAATATATATTTATAAATTTCAATCACTATTTTGCAATAATAAATATAAATGATTTTTAATTGCTAAAGCATTTTAAATGTTAAAAATAATTACAAAATATAAAGAAAATTATATTTTATTAATATTTTATAAATACAATATAAACTGTTTATTTATATTTATATATATAATTTTTATTTATTATTTAATTACCATTTCTGTTTATATTTACCCCTATTGACCATTTTTGACCGCTTTTGACCACTTTTGACCAATTGTGACCAGTGGTCAATATTTATGATAAGTAGTCCATAAATTATTTATAATATTTAATAATAATAATATCATGATAAATAACTAAGTTTTTTATAGTATTGACTAAATTTGACTATTGGTCACTATTGGTCAATATAACTAAATTAAATGATAAAATCTAAGTATTATATAATATAAATACTTTATAATTTTTTTTGAATAATTTTCACCATAACTGACCAGTGGTCAAAAGTGGTCAAATTTTACACACGTGATCTTAGATTAAAAATATATAAGTAATAAATTTATTTTAATTATCAATTAAATTATTAAATATTAAATATTTGATTAAAATTATATTAAAATTGATCTAATTATATTATATTATTAAAAAATAAATGATCTAGGTTATAATTTAATCATTATAATAATCCCCACAATTATTTATAAATATATTAGGCAACAAACAAATTATATATATATACTTAACAATTACTTATATTTTACTAATTAAAACTTGCAATTTAGTTGTATATCAATTGTATATTGTTTAGTATAAAATAAAATTAAGTTAAAATGTCTTTAAAAAACAAACACTATTTGTTAAAAATAATAATTTATTCAACACTTTATATACTAGTTTTATCATTTATTACTTTACATCATTAAATAATAATTTATTACATTAACAAATATTTATATAAATTATAAAATTAATAAATATTAAATAGTATGTAAAATATTTTTAGCATTAGTAGTTATGATTCACAATAATCGCAAAATAATAATTAAGTTATAATATGTTAAATAATAGTTATTTATTTTTGTAAATAAATTTTATTAATCAGCCTAAAACAATATTCGTCAACAAAAATTATTAATATATTATAGTTTATTAGTTAATTGTTTTATTGTTTTATATTTTTTTTTAATTTTCAAAATTAGTATAAATTACAAAAACATAACATTTGATTGTTAAATTATTATTTCATATTTTGATAATTTAAAAAAAAAAAAATTATCAAATAAAAATCAATTTTTAATTGCAAAAACATTATTAAATCTATTAACGACTTTCAAACAATTATCTTTCCTGTAGCCGGCGCTCCGTCAAGTAATTTAATACCTGTCCCTGCATTGAATTAAATATAAAAAATAATTGATCTAGGTTACAATTTGATCAATATAATAATTTTCACGAAATCCTTCCAATTGTTTAATTAATTGTAAACCTTTTTTATTGATACTTCGTGTCATTAAATAATGATTTTATTTTATTTTTAAATAAAAATTCAAATAAATTATAATTATTTACATTAGTCAAAAAACTAAAAAATAATATATAAATATAATTTTACAAATTAAAACTTACTGATTTAGTTAGTATTTCTAATGTATACTGTTTAACATAAAATGAAAATACAGTTAAAATGTTTTTTCTTCAAAAAACAAACACTATTTGTTAAAATAATAATTTATTCATCATTTTATATACAGTAAATTTGCATCATTTTTTAATAATTTATTACATCAATCAATATTAATATAAATTATAAGATTAATAGATAACTAGTCTGTAAAATATTATTAACATTAGTAGTTATGATTCACAAAAAATATTATTAACTTTATATAAATTATTGATATATTAAACACTATTGATATATACAGTACTTTATCTAACAATTTATAATTAGTACTGATTTGTTGTGGCGATCATATTATTTAATTAATTTAATAATGTTTACTAAATTATTATTATTATTTAGAGTGACAAAATTTTTTGATAAGATAATAGATATTTAATTTTTAAAATAAATTTCATTAATCAGTCTAAAACAAAATAATTTCGTCAACAAAAAATGTATTAAAAAAACTATTTCATATTTTGATAATTTTTAAAAAATAATTTATCAACAAAATAATCAAAATAATCAAAATAATCAAAAACATTACTAAAAACTAATAACGACTTTCAAACAATTGTCTTTCCTGTCGCCGGCGCTCCGTTAGGTCATCTAATACCTGTCCCTGCATTGAATTGTATCGACCAAACGCTTGACCGGCGGCCGCATAATTGCCGGCCAATATGTTTGTCAATATTTGTGTGCCACGAAATGCTTCCGTTCCCATATTGAATGAAAAGCTAACGCACTGGTAGTTAAACAACAAAAAGTTATAAATATTTATTTTAAAAAAAAAACAATAATGAAATAAATAATACAAAAATAATTATTGAAAATATAATAACATGTTTTTTACGGGCTATACTTACGGCTGCAAATTGATTGTCATTAAGCCGACCGTTGGTCACCCGTTGGACAAACTCTTCATCCAAATGCAGATCTTCACGCAACAGACGGCTGGCGTCCGATTCACTTAACGGCACCCGATATCGGGGCTCAATTGGACCTCTATATTGGATACAGTGTCCATAGCCTATGGTTTTTTGACCCTAATTTTACATCAAAAAAAATATAACTATTTCTTTAATAATATAGTTAATAATAAAAAAATAATTGATCTAGGTTACAATTTGATCATTATAATAATTTCCACGAAATCCTTCCAATTGTTTGATTAATTGTAAACCATTTTGATTGATAGTTCGTGTCACTAAATAATGATTTTATTTTTATAAAAAAAATAGAAATTCAAATAAATTATAATTTTAATTAAATATATTAGTCAAAAAAAACAAATAATATATATATATAATAGATATTAAAAATTTTATTAAATTTTACAAATTAAAACTTACTGATTTAGTTAGAAATTCTAATGTATACTGTTTAACATAAAATGAAAATACAGTTAAAATGTTTTTTCTTCAAAAAAAACAGACACTATTTGTTAAAATAATAATTTATTCATCAGTTTATATACAGTAAGTTTGCATCATTTTATAATAATTACATCAACAAATATTTATATAAATTATAAGATTAATAGATAACTAGTCTGTAAAATATTTTTAACATTAGTAGTTATGATTCACAAAAATAGTATAGTATTAAATATATAAAAATTATTGATATATTTAAAAGTATTGATACTGTCTATACTTTATTTGCAAATTTATAATTAGCATTACTATGTAGACATGTAATAAATATATATTTATTTACCAGTTATGTCTTAATATAAATAATCAATGAATAAAAAACTTATGAAAATGATTAGTTATTGTAATAAATAAACTAAAAATATATTATTAATTTTATGATACAATTTATAACTATAGCATTGTTATCTACTGATAAGGTATAGTAGTTACTGTATTTTGATTGAGTTAATAAATTTTTCTACACATATTTAATTAAATTATAATATATATATTTTTTGTATTATGTATTTTATCTGTGTATTATTTATTGTTAATGATTAATACATTTTATTAGAGATTAATATTATTTATTATAATTCATTAATAAATATTTAAAAAATATTAAAAACAAAAATATTAATAATACTACAATATATTGATATAAAATGATAAAATCATAACAATTGATAGATTGAATTATAAAATGTATTAAAAGTTATTGATCTGTATTGCACTAAAACTTATTACAAAGTCTAGACATATTAATGAAATTTATGATTTTTATTTATTTTTATTTCATACAATAAATTTATTTTATAAAAACATTGATTTTATTTTTATATAATAACTTTACTTTTAAAAGTTTTACTATACTATATACTAAATATTATATAATATTTTGTTATTTAATAATAAAATAAATTATATAAAATGTTTTTATTCAATTAATCAATATTTTTAATAGACTATTTATAAAATATGCAAAGCAAATTAATAGTTATAAAATTTTAAATAAATTTTGTTTTTACTTTTAGATTAATTACTAATAAATATATACTGTATATATATAATTATTATATAAAAACTAATAATATTGTGTAAATAATTTTATTTTTATTAATAAAAATATATTTTGTTTGTGTGTGTGTGTGTGTGTGTGTGTGTGTGTGTGTGTGTATTTTAATTAATAAACATATAATAATTTTAATCAATTAATTATATTTATTAGCTTAATTAATTAATAATTGATAATCGCAATAGATTATATTATTTAATTAATAATAATTATTATTATATAGTATACATGTATACTATACATGATTTAGATTGTATATTAGCCAGAAGTACTACATTTATTAATAGTATCATGGTTATCTTTTAGCAATTGCATACACTTTTTGTATAAATCTTTTTTAGTTGAATCACTTTTTTGCTGATCTCTCGGCTCTTTGAGCTCCCGTTCCACAGCCGACTGGCATTTATCCGAACCGCCAGATTTGTTATCGGCGGCCACTTTCATCACTGCCTGAGCTACCGGACAGTCGGCTATACATTTTTTAAAGTCGCCAATTACTTTAGCACCTTGAGCATTTTTGCATTCATCTAAGAAAAATATTTAATAATTATTTTTTTATATTTTTATTTAAAAAAAATAATAATTAATTAATTAATTAGTAATTATTATTACCGCAAAATATTGTCATAATTGATTGTTGCTGATTTGTATCCCAAACACTATTAGCTTGTATAAAACTAATTAATAATAAACAAGCTAAAATACTTATAATAATCAATTTATTCATGATTTATTTTATTTCAACAATTAATTAATTAAAAAATATATTTTATAATATATATTTTAGTTTAGTTTTTGATATATATTTTATATATATTATAATATAATTCAATAATTTAGATTAAAAAAATTATACTATTTAATGGACTAAATATTTTATTTATACCTCTTATATAGTACACTATTGTTTGATATTATATATATAAGTACAAAAAAGTACTAAAAGTACAAAAATACTTTACAAACAATAAAACAGTTTTTTTGAAATAACATATTTGATTATTCAGGTATTAGGTTTAAATATATTTATCTAAAAAAATTAACCATAAATTTATGTAATACTTATTTTTTTTAAATATTGCACAATAACATTAACAAAATATATTTTATTAGCATTAATTTAGGTTGTGTAAATAATTAAATAATGCTTGATTAAACAAAATAATTGTTTTATTTTATTATTATAGATTAATAAAATAATCATTTTTTTTGTTCAACAAAATTATTATATTTGCAAATTATTATGTTATTAACATATTTTTTTAAAAAAACTATTTAGATTGTTAATTTATTTGCATACAATTTAAATATGTTTGTAATTGTTAAAATAAAATTATTTAAATGCTTAATTTATTTATTTTTTAAAAATTTCTTCTATATGTTTGTGAAACATTTATTGATTGTATAATCTATATCTTTTATTATAATATATTACAGTAGCTAAATAATTATTATTTTATAAATTAGATATAAGTATATATTGATAAATAAATAGTTTTTTTTTGTATTAAAAATTAGATACAATTCATAAGTATATAAATAACAAGTGACTAATTAAAAACTAACTATTATAAGATTATATTAATATACTCTATACAATATATATATACAGTATATTATATATACATATCTATACTTATCATAACAAAAATTATTTAAATACAGTAGCAGCTAATATTAAATTAACTTAATTATCAAATATATGTTTTTTGATAATAAATTATTGATATTAAATATCTTATTAAATAAATAATTAGAATATTGTCTGATTTAATAATAATAATAATAATAATAATAATGAATACTATTTCAAAAACTAAATTCAATTGGATTAACAAAAACTTATCAAATGATTTATATGTAAAATCTGCGGCAACTTTACTCTATAGTATTGGTCTGTGTTTGACACGACCTCCTGTTTACTGTAAGCGCCGATTCATAACATCGCGACCGGTGACCAAATCGGTGATTATCTGGTCGTACACTGTATTAACACTTATATTACTGGTAAACAATGGTCGCAATCAATCATTAGTATTATATTTTGGCGATTTCTCACAAATCATTGGTTTTGGCAGTGAATACAAAATATTATTACTATGTTTTTGTTTGGGCAACAATATACCACAACTAATCTATTATTACAAATACTATAATCACATTGAACCCACATTTATGCGGGTGTTCTACATGTTGGCCGGTTTGATGCCACCCAGTTGTCTGGGACTGGATTACAATACACCAGAGTTAGATAAATTTTTCAAAATAGCTAAATTTATGTTACCCATACATAAACTGGTCCATTATATAGTGACAACATTTGGTAGTCTATGTTTTTTAACATTGTTATACTATCGTACCCTTTATGAAGCAATAATCTACGGTATAATTAATTCAATAGCATTTTCGTTAACTATATACGAGTCGTCCGGAATTATGTTTTATTTGATTTATTATTTTTATTTTCTCTGTTATTACTTAACAATTAAGATTAAATCAATATATCAATTAATGCTAACTATTTATAATACTAATAGAAAATCTAAAGTTATTGTTAATCGTAATATTCTGAATGTATTAAAACAATTAAACATTGTTTACAATGAGATCTCTGAGTATAATACTACTTATTGGTGTCAATATATGGCATGTATTTGGGCGATGTTTGGATTTTTTAACATTTATTTGGTTTTTCTAACAATATTTAGAGACTATTTTTTAATATTAAAATTGATGTTTATTTACGATATCATAGTATTTGGTGCTATATTTATAATAATATTACTAAAGGCATCGGCTGTTAATTATGAGGCAAATATGTCATACAATCTCATGAATACATTGTTTGTCAAACGTTTTGTTAATGTAATTTAGTTTGTAATTGTAAATTTAATAGTTTTTAGATTTTTTTAAATAACTAATAGTGTATTATAACTACTAATTATAATTTTTGTGCGGTATAAACTTTTTCTAAGTTAAAACACATTTGTAAATTAAAATTAAATAAACAAATAACTAATAATAATCAATAAAATTTATATTTTTTAAAAGTTAACTTTACTATTTGCATTAAACTAATTAATAAAACAATTATAATTAAAATTATATTAAAATATATTATTAACCTTTATTAATCTATTTAGATTATTAAATTATTTGCATATGTTTGTAATTGTTGAAATAAAATTATTTAAATTAGTTATATTAGTACTTAAAATATTATATTAATTTATCTAATAATTTCTATTATTAGCAATACGTTAAACATTTATTGATTGTATAATGTTATATATGCTAATCAATAAAAATATATTAAGTACTTAAATAATTATTTTATTATAAATTATATATTTTATATATTTTAATTGATAATTATGTTATTGTATTAAAAATTAGAACATTTTATAAGTATAATAAATAACAAATGACTAATTATTAAAATTATATATATATACAGTATATACTGTATATATATATATATATAATGTATATGCAATTTTATAAAAAAATATCTATATAATACAGTAGCAGCTATTATTAAATTAACTTAATTATAAAATATATGTTTTTTTGATAATAAATTACTGAAACTAAATATTTTATACTAAATAAATAATTAAGAGTATTGTCTGATTTAATAATATTAATAATAATAATGAATACTATTTCAAAAACTAGATTCAATTGGATTAACACAAACTTATCAAACGTTTTATACGTAAAATCTGCGGCAACTTTACTCTATAGTATTGGTCTATGTTTGACACGACCTCCTGTTAACTGTAAACGTCGGTTCATAACATCGCGACCGCTGACCAAATCGGTAATTATCTGGTCGTACACTATATTAACACTTATATTACTGGTAAACAATGGTCGCAATCAATCAATGGTATTAGTCTATGGCGATTGGTCTCAGATTATTGGTTTTGGTAGTGAATACAAAA